CGCACCTCCGGCAGGCAGTGGGCACGGGGCTTGGGGCAGAAGGGTGAAATGTCACAGACGGAATGCAAATCCAGCCTGACAACTGGTGCAGAAAACATGTTCTCTCTGACTCTGGGAACCTTGCTATTTCACAAAGCCAAACGAACATATCAGCCATGCAGTGCCTTGGGCTCCAATTGGGTTATTTTTAAAAGAGTCCCAAAAAAACAGCCCAGCTAGCGTTACATCATCACAGCCCCTTGTTGTTGCTGTTATCCGTCTTCTCCGGTTCAGGGCTCCACCTCCCTCCCTCTCTATGCATCTCTGTCTCACAGGAGGAGCTCTACATATATGGGTTAGGGTTAGATGCAAATCGGCCATCTGGAGTTGCGGCAGAGCTGATAAAACAACTACAAACTGATTCCTGTTAGTCATCTCCGATACTGTATGCTCAGATCAGATCCATCATCATGAGCACCATAACATGCCGTTTGGTTGAACCTCAACCTCGCCATGATCATATCCTATCCGTGATCTGCAATGCCACGCGTCAGTGAGTCTGTCTGTCTGTAACCTATTTTGTTCAGACGTCCATGTGACCCATGATTTGTGGTTCCACGTACGAACGAACGGTGAGCCTTGCACTGCCATTTGTATTTGATTCATAGTTCACGGGTTTCTCTCTCAGTACATGATGTCCGCTGACGACCGACCCGGCCAGGGCCAGCCCAGCTCAGTGACGTCACATGGTCACAGGGTCCGAGACATGGTCTTCAGTCCTCATTGTCATATACTGTATGGGGAGTCAGGGCTCTGCCCGCCTGCCTGGTCTAGTGGGTCGATGAATAGCTGTGATGGCAAGGTCATGCCTTCTGCAGTCAGACCTGAAAAATATATGGGACTCAGTTGTCGGCACAACTAAGAATCATCATACTGAAGAGGACAATTACAACAATAACAAACCACTGAATAGCATTATAGAATATTATTCAGCCCATTAGCCCATCCAACCAGCTCAGAATGTGATTACAGAAAAATTATTCAACAACCATCTGCACTCACTAATGTGGCATAAAGGCTGTCGTACTACTACTACAACCAACTAATAATAACCAAGGCTGCCAAAAGACACCAAGAACTGCGTCATTAAGCCTTTCTATAACAAAGCCAAAAAGCTGCCGAGCCAGTAGACCACTGGGCATAAACCTCCCACTCCGCAGACACAAAACATTGCCCCGGCCAGACAGTCAGGACCACAGTGACACCCATAGCTATCTGAGATGTCTACACGCATGGCCCCAAATAGAAGCTAATTGCTGCTGAGACGTCAGCTGAAGCAACAGTTTATTTTGAGGGGCTGTTCAGTGGAGTGAGAGATCTGATCCCAGACCAAAGCAGACCAAGGGGAAGGAAGGAAAGTGATGGAGATGTGTGGAAGGGGGTTTGTCAGGGAGCAGGGAGGAGCGGAGTGGGGAGCACAGTGGGCTCATGTGCACAGCTGAGACAGCCACACATCGCAGCCACATCGGCCTGACATCGGCCTGACTACTCCCTTCAGCTCCAATCACCTCACTGCTCACTAAGTTCCTGCCATCACCGAATTGGGCTGGAATGGGAAAACTCCCCCACATGTCCTGCTGCTGTGCCAGTACAAATGATCCCCTTTTGGCATCAGTGTCTTAGTTCTCTGTATATTTCTCCCAGTTAAATAACCTCCTCTGTGCTGTATAAAGCATAGAATTATGATTATGTATTTGATCTAGGGCTTCTATTTCTATGTTCTAGAACATGTTCAGTGTCTCCAGTCTTGAGAGTTACGACAACAACATCAGGTGATATAATTAAGCAATAAGGCCCGAGGAGGTGTGGTATATGGCTAATATACCACGGCTAAGGGCTGTTCTTAAGCGCAACGCAACGCAGAGTGCCTGGATACAGCCCTTAGCCGTGGTATATTGGCCATATACCACAAACCCCCGAGGTGCCTTATTGCTTTTACCAATGTAATTAGTATTAGTATTTTTTTGTCATAACCGTGGTATACTTAAGTAATAATGCCCGAGAAGCCGGTGTTTGGAGGATATATTGGCACGGGTGTTGTTAGGCCTGAGAAAAGTCGAGGGCCGGCAAACTGTGCCAATATATCCTCCAAACACCGGCTTCTCAGGCATTATCACTTTTACACTTTTATACAACGAGTTACCAACAATGATTTACATATTTATAAAAAAAGGTTATTTTGATGAATTTATTCATACTATTTAATCCTTCCATAAGATATAGTCCCAACACAAATCTAGGGTTGCTACCCAAGCCAGCTGGTTGTTCGTTCTATCGGTTTGGTTGCCAGAGACGCAACCCAGTCGTTCAGTCTTTTTGTTCTGTCCAGTTGTTCGTTCTAAATGTTCTATTGCCATACTGGCTGGCAACGTTCTTATCCTTTGCTTGCTAGCTAGCCAACTACGGCTAACTTACAGTCATGTCAAACAGTGCAGCCAGAATAACAACAAAGTAGCTGCATTTGCTGTTTTCTAGTGACAAATATTTGGATACATCCATAACAATGAGCTAATGATGCACGATTTCACCTGGCATAGAAAATGTGCTCTCTATGTCAGGACACTGTTGGTCAGGAGCTAGCAAACAACACAGCTAACACAATCACTTCAAACTGAAGCTGGAAAGACTGCAAACTAGCTGCACTTTGTTTTGTTTTACATTTACATCATTTAGCAGGCCTGTTTTCTATTGATATTTCTTTGTATATATCCATAAAATTATGCTGCTTCATGATTTCGACTGGTTGAGAAAAGCTGCCTGTCTGTCTCGTCCCAACTCTCGACTCCCGACATGTTCATTACTATGCGACAGCTGGAGATCGAATTTTAATATTGAAACAATTTTGCAAATGTCGGAGAGACAGACAGCTAGGTTTATACAAATCTCCGCTGTTGAAAACCTAAATGTTAGTCTAAAAGAAATGTGAGATAATGTCTAGATGCTTTTTATAGTGGAGATCAAGTTTATAAATTGCCTGGCTGCGCTGATGAGACAGTGGATTGCACAGTCAGATGGAACAGAGTAAATAGGCATTTTAACATCATAGATTTAGCTGGTGGTAACTTGTGGAATAGACACCGGCTGGAATGCGGTTTTAACCAATCAGCATTCAGGATTAGACCCACCCGTTGTATAAGGTCTGATATACCAATAGCTTTCAGCCAATCAGCATTCAGGGCTCAAACCACCCAGTTTATAATTGGAGTGTGATCACAGCAGCATGTCGAATTGGATGAGGTACCCATGATGAGATATGGCTTCCTGTCATAGCAGACAGCTGCAGTACATGGAGTAGAAGAAAGATGTATGACCTCGCCACATTCTGTCACATGTACATCTGTCAACTCAATTACTCCAAATGGCCCAGAGGCTGAGGCACTACAATGTACATGCTAACTCCACAATCCACACTAGCCTCTAGTCTACAAACATCAGAATCCTCCTGAATTAAACAAAAATAGTTGGCGTAATCACATTAATTCATGGTGGGTTTTAATTTGTTGCTGTCAAGAAATAACAGGTTTAGGAGATACAACTTATCAAAAGCTGATTAAAACATGATGCATCCTCCTCCACTCGTCTGTGCTAGTGAAGAACATGCACAGAACTGTGTGTGTGTAGTTGACAGGACTGTGGCATTTAAATGTGAGTCAGTGTGAGATAGAATCATACGCAAAAGGATGACATCTCTATACCTCACAAGTAGCCAAATGTGGCTATATTTGAACACACAAGAGGGGTGACTAACTATGGTGTTACCACTATAACACTAGCAGTATATCACATACGGACCTTTTTATTTATGTATTTTATTTTACCAGGCAGATCAATTAAGAACACATTCTTATTTCCAATGACGGCCTGATGTAACCTATTTATCTCCATCTATCCATGAGTTCTACTGGAGCAAACTACACAGTGCCAGCTGGTGGTGATCCAACCATCACATGACTGGGTGAGTAAGATGAATTGTTGCACTCTTGCAGTAGCCTAAGCCACAGAGACAGCACACATCAAAACGTGCATCTAAATCTGAGAGATCCCTCTCCAGCAATGCTCCTCCAGTGTTTTCAGCAGCATTGTAAATGTGAGTTGGAGTGACGGCCCGGTGTAATGATGGGTCCTGACAGCTGAGCAGAGGCACAGCCTTGGCTGAGAGTGCCCTGTGTTGTGTAACCAACCCATTGTTGCCACCCCGGCCTGTCAGCGCCATTAACATTCATAGGAATCAAAGGAGCCAGCCAGCCAGGGACGTAGACAACTGTTGGCTCCTTATGTGTAGCAAGCAACAGGGCTGGCGAGACAGAATTATGGATGGAAACAGAAAGACACACATGGGCAAAGGAGGAAGGCTTTGAATCATAAAGAAGAGACAAAAGCTGAAGATAATTGAGTCAAATGTATTTTTTTCCACTTTACAAAAAAAAATGAGAAATACACAGTCACACAGACAGAACAGAAAAGGCCCTTACAGCAGTTCGATTTTAGCTGGGCTGTGTGCTCTGCCCGGTTCAGGCTGCGAGTCATTCTGTGTGTGCCCTGTTAGCAGCAGAACATCACTGGAGGCGAGTGGAGGAACAGCCACTCCACAGAGGAGAGAATGGAGAAGAGGCTGAATGATGAGAGGAGCTTTAGTCTATTTGACTGACCACTGGAAATGGAAACAGATCAGCTGATACAGAACCCTGAAGCTTCACACCTTGAAGACTCTTTTGGCACTTCAGCTAGATCTGTTGTCACCCTCATAACACTTCTACGTTCTAAAACAGAGCTGCATGAGAGAGGATTATTTTAGACTCAATCTGTGAAGTCACAGGTTCTTCAGTTCTGAAGACTGCAGGATAAATCCAGTTTGAATGCCTTATTCACAGTTCAGCCAAATAAGGTTATTTGGCCCAAGTATGTATGAACCCAGTATGTAAAGTGTGCGGAATGGATGTATTACCTGTGTGTAAATGAACATTTACTGTGTGTAATAGCATTATAATGAGTAGTGGTTCACTTCGTATGGAAAAAACACCCAGGGCATCCCCAGTGGCCCGCTGCCCTGCTGTTTCCTCTATCATCCAGGACATTCACTCAGGCACATGATTGAATGGTACCCAGGTGATTTCAGAGGGGAGTCCCCTCTCCCTGTGATGTCATAGTGTTGACTGTTGACGTTCTTTCCACACTGGTCAGATGGAATGATTTATTCATAATCATGGTAGCATAATAAAACAATGAACATTGAAAGCACTGACAGTTAAACCCAAGGCCTCTCGCATGGCATGCACATACCCAACCCCAGCCTTCACTTCACACGGACACTAAAACATTCTTATATCCTTCAGTCTTTCTTTTCTTGGCTTCTTCCTTCTTTTAAGTTGTCCTTTTTAGATTCTCATCTTTTCATTTTTGTGTTCTTTTTTTAATCCTTTAAATATATTTTAATATAAAACAAGCCCACATATGATGAATCTACCATGTTGAGACCTGCCCCTCCCTCCCCTGTTCTGTAGTCCTGTGTTGAGTTGGAGATAAAGAGTCTCAGCTGGGAAGCTCCTATGTCCTGGGTGTGTTCTAGCCTCTTGTCCTCTCAAATGTTCACCTTCTCTTTAACGGACATAGAAGAACCTGTTCTGGAGCCGAGGGAGACAACAGCACAAAGCAAATGAACCAACAACCCCCCGGAGAAAGAAAAATAACAAAAATATTTATTTAAAAAAATGAATAAAAAAAACAACTGATTAGTCCGACTGGAGAAGTAGGTTCTGGAGGCTGAGGGAGTCTGGAGCTCTGTATACTGGAGGCACTTTGGCACAAAGCGAAGGCCCCAAGCAAGGCCCCACACACGGACACACACAGGGGGGTGAGGGACAGAGGGCATGCAGCGCCACACTACCAACCAACAGAGATACAGGAATGATCAGAGCACAGATAGAGGGAAGGAGAGATTGAGAGCATCTGACAAACTTGTGGAGGAAAAGGCCAGCCTCCCCCATTATCATCATGTTTTAGAGAGGAAGAAAATCAGAAAAGAGTTTCCAAGGAGAGGACAAAGCCAGTGGAGAGACTGGGAGAACAGGAGGAGGAGGGGGGGATAGAGGGAGGCCGATGGACTGGAGAGAGGAGGAAGAGAACCAGCCAGTAGAAAGCTATACAACACATACAGGACTTCTGTTCCTTTCTTTCAGAAAAGTAGAGGGGGAAGGTAACACAGGGGAGGGTTGACTACAGTCCAAGAGGAAAACAGGTGTAGGTGAGGTCTCAGGTAGGGTGTGGTCCACAGGTGAGGCAGGCAGATGAGTTCCAGTCCTGCTCCAGTTAGTTTCCCCCAGCCCGGCCCGGCCGCTCCCGCTATCCCTCCCTCCGCTCTAGGCTGCTGCGTCTCCCCTCCCTGCCCCTCACAGGTAGAGCTCTTTGGCTCTGATATGCGACAGCTTGTCTCTCAGCATGCGGAAGGAGGGCCGCAGCCCCACGTCCAGGGTCCAGCACTGCTTCATGACGTCGTACACCACCACCGGGCAGCCCTCGGGTGCATCCATCTTGTAACCCTTCTCCACCCGCGGCACCACCTCCTTCAGGGGCTGAGGAGCAGAGAGGAGGGTGTTATCAACTCAACCACATACTGTACTATTATAGTGCCTTCGGAAAGTATTCAGACCCCTTGACTGTTTTGTTACAGCCTTATTCTAAAATTGATTTCTTTTTTAAATCTCAGCAATCTCCACACAATACCCCATAATGACAAAGCAAAAACAGGTTGGTATAAATGTTTGCAAACAGAAAAAATAAACAGAAATACCTTATTTACATAAGTATTCAGACCCTTTGCTATGAGACACGAAATTGAGCGCAGGTGCATCCTGTTTCCATTGATCATCCTTGAGATGTTTCTACAACTTGATTGGAGTCCACCTGTGGTACATTCAATTGATTGTACATGATTTGGAAAGGCACACACCAGTCTATATAAGGTCCCACAGTTGACAGTGCACGTCAGAGCAAAAACCAAGCCATGAGGTCGAAGGAATTGTCCGTAGAGCCAGAGACACAGATCTGGGGAAGGGTACCAAAACATTTCTGCAGCATTGAAGGTCCCCAAGAACACAGTGGCCTCCATCACTCTTAAATGGAAGAAGTTTGGAACCACCAAGACTCTTCCTAGAGCTGGCCTCCCGGCCAAAACGAGCAATCGGGGGAGAAGGGCCTTGGTCAGGGAGGTGACCAAGAACCTGATGGTCACTCTGACAGAGCTCTAGAGTTCCTCTGTGGAGATGGGTGAACCTTCCAGAAGGACAACCATCTCTACAGTATTCCACCAAATCAGGCCTTTATGGTAGTGTGGCCACACGGAAGCCATTCCTCAGTAAAAGGCACATGACAGCCCGCTTGGAGTTTACCAAAAGGCACCTAAAGAATCTCAGACCATGAGAAACAAGATTCTCTGGTCTAATGAAACCAAGATGTAACTCTTTGGCCTGAATGCCAAGCGTCACATCTGGAGGAAACCTGTCACCATCCCTACGGTGAAGCATGGTGGTGGCAGCATCATGCTGTGGGGATGTTTTTCAATGGCAGGGACTAGGAGACTAGTCAGGATCGAGGGAAAGATGAATGGAGCAAAGTACAGAGAGATCCTTGATGAAAACCTGCTCCAGAGCGCTCAGGACCTCAGACTGGGGCGAAGGTTCACTTTCCAAAAGGACAACAACCCTAAGCACACAGCCAAGTCAACGCAGGAGTTGCTTCGGGACAAGTCTCTGAGTGGCCCAGCCAGAGCCCGGACTTGAACCCGATCAAACATCTCTGGAGAGACCTGAAAATAGCTGTGCAGCAACGCTCCCCATCCAACCTGACAGAGCTTGAGAGGATCTGCAGAGAACAATGGGAGAAACTCCACAAATACAGGTGTGCCAAGCTTGTAGCATCATACCCAAGAAAACTCGAGGCTGTAACGCTGCCAAAGGTGCTTCAACAAAGTACTGGGTAAAGGGTATGAATACTTATGTAAATGTTTTATTTCAGTTGTTTATTTTGAATAAATTAGCAAAACATTTTGCTTTATCATAATGGGGTATTGTGAGTAGACTGATGAACAAAAGTAAGTATTTAATCCATTTTAGAATAAGGCTGTAACCTAACAAAATGTGGAAAAAGTCAAGGGGTCTGAATACTTTCCGAAGGCACTGTATGTTCTAACATCCTTCACTGTCTGAACAGTGGTGTCAACTTATCTGCATGTGCACGAATTTCATATCTATCAAATGATATGAAATACATCACACATCTAGATCTCTATTTTTGCCTCACATTGGAGAAGGCAATATAGATAAGGCTGCTGCCCCCTGCTGGAGTCACCTTACAATATCATACTTACAATTCTGGGGTAAGGCACACGCCCAAAGGAGTAGATCTCCCAAAGCAGGATACCATAACTCCACACGTCTGACTTAGTGGAGAACCTCTGGGAGGGAGCAAAGGGAGAGACTGAGGTCAACTACACAAGACACCACAGACACAAAGACAAACAGAGCTTAGGATACACTATGAGCATACTCCAATCTACGCTCCCTCCCTCATTCGTCCAATCTCCTCCCTTTTTCCCCCTCACCTTCTCTCGCAGGGCTTCGGGGGAGGTCCATTTGACGGGCAGTTTGGCAGTGTCCTGTGTGGACGAGGCCTCCTTGGTCAGACCAAAGTCGCTGACCTTGGCGATGTTGTCGTCAGACACCAGCACGTTCCGGGCCGCCAGGTCTCTGTGCACAAAGTTATTGGCCTCCAGGTATTCCATGGCTTCACACACGTCACTGCACGGCAGGGGAGAGCGAGGAGAGAAGGGGTCACCAAATGGAGATGTGAGAGAGACAAAAAGAGAAACAATGGGATCACTCAGCCAAGACAAATGACTCATTTCATTGCAGATAAGTGATACCAATAACCATTTAAAATACTTTGAATTCTGGCTTCCTCTCCAGGGAAATCACATTATAATTGAATAAAGACATCCAATACTGCAAAACTTCCTGTGGATGACTTACAGTGAGAATTTGAGCAAACAGTCTCCTCCCAGCACAGTCCGTCCTCGAGAACGGAGGTAGTCCACTAGACTGCCCTGTGGTGGGGGGGAAGGGGGAGAGGGGGATGGCTGTCAAGCTGGGAAGTAGGAACAGACACTATCATAAAGGGACAGTGGACTCCAGACAGTGGATACAGTAGTCCCTGATCCAGCAATACAGTAGACTGAAGTACCTTGGCCATGTACTCTGTGACGATGTAGAGACTGCCCCTCTCCTCCACGATCACCCCCAGCAGCTGAACCAGGTTGTTGTGCCTCAGTTGCCTGCAGGGTAGAGAGAGGGTTTTTAGTGACACAGCCACACTAAGGTGTACAGACACAGAAACACAGTCATAAGGTATTAAAGAAAGTGCGTAAGACCACAAAACAGAATGGTTGAGACTTACGTCATGACGGAGGCCTCAGCGATGAACGCCTGGGCCGTGGCATCGTGTTTGATGCACTTCACTGCCACCTTGGTCCCTCTGTAGTCCCCCACCATCACATCTGAACAGGACAGATACATAGATGTAACACTGGACAACGACACACACGCCTCACATGGGGATGGACAGAGACACTTCTCTTTATAAGTACTGGTCTCAGTTAGGGTCTTTACCTCCAAACTCCCCTTTGCCAATGGTCTGGATGAGCTTGAGTTCCTTTCTGTTCAAGGCCCAGCCGCCTGTGGAGCAGCGGCAGAGAGAGGAGGAGAGAGAGAAAGAGAGATGGAAAGAAAGTCAGACTGGTTCCAGCAGTACTAATGAAACAGCATCCTTCCCCAGACAGAGCAAAGCACTTCAGCACAGAGCACAAGGTTAAAGACTTACCGCTGATTCAAGTCATTAAGCCCAGGTTTACTGTACTACAGAAGATACAAGACTGAGTCACTGTGTGTATTCTTACAGACCAAGAGTGACTCAAGAGAATGGGAAACACAAGGTTAGTAAAGTGTTCTTACTCCTGGAGAATTCATCCTGGGCGGCCACCGTTCCCTCCATCAGCTTTGGCTTGATGAGTCTGGTACAGAGGCCGTCGGCGTCTTTGGTGTAGTGCTGAATGGAGAGAGGAGAGAGACAGTACCTGGTGAGTTGGGTAGTGTGTATATCAATAGTAGCTGCATAGTCACAATGAGGTGGTAGAACTGCATGTCAACCGTATGTCAAAGATAGACAACAAAGAGCGGGAGTCAAGAAGGGTCTCAGCAGTCTGGGGTGAAAAGGATGCTGGGATTGGAGGGTTAGAGGGGACTCTGCTAATTAACAGGAGAAGCATGGGAATTGTGTGTTTGGTGGTGAGAGAGGTCACTAACTGCACCTTCACTTTAGATACACACTCACATAATCCTGTCGACACCAACTGATCTTCATGTGATCAGGTTAACCAGTCACAAACACACTGCCCATCTTTTTGATGTATGATTAGTTTGTTAAACAATGGAGAAGCACCCAGTCATTGACTGTAATCTGACTGCCACGGTCTGTTTTACATGCGAGTAGCATTCACAACCACCAGAGGGCAGCACGGTACAGGAACTATTGCCTCTACAAGCTACTAAACATAGATCAAATATAGTCATGTCAACACCATATTTGAGCTTTAAAGACCCATTATCAAATTAACACAAACTTCTTCATATTTGCGGTCATGAAACCAAGGTTATATAACTGATGTTTGGATAATGTAAAAATACTCAATGTGCCTGAATACACACTTGAATCTCCACACATTAGCACCCCTATCCATAACAACAACCCAAGTACTTAACATGTGCATGCCTAATCCCTTAAATGCAACAGTGTTTGATTGCTATTGTGTGGTTAACACCACAAATCCCACTGGATGTGGGTGTATTGACAGGGAAGGGCAACTTGTGTGTGTGCGTGGGCATGCGTGTGTGTTCCCATGTGGAGCCTGTTGTGACAGGCCAGTCAGAGCAAGGGGAAAAGGAACGAGCTAGAAATCACACAGGAATGTGAGAAATCCAGTCACAGGCGCCATTAGAGAGGGGGCGAGAAAGAGCGAGAGAGTGGGCGAGAAAGGGGGGGTGAGGGCGAGAGAGAGAGGGGGGGCGCAGAAGGAATAAGCAGAGGATTGTGGGTGTGCTGGTTAGACAGATGGTCCTCGGTGCCAGTGTGCAGATTCCTGCCTAAATCCCAGCAGCGCCGCTGGGAAGGAGATGAGCGTTAATTAAAAGTGTGATTGCAAACAATCTAGCTAGAAGCCTGATGGAGCATCTTATCTCTGGGGAAGAGAGACCTTTCCCACCATGGCCCAATTCCTCCCTTTCTTAAAACACTGACTCAGCCCTACTGCTGTGGTAGAGGCTGTCTAATAGACCACGCAGCAGTCTCCCTCCACTAGGACTGGGAATTTCCAGGGACCTCACGATATGATATCATGATACTTAGGTGCCGATCCGATATGTATTGCGATTCGATACTGCAATTTTGTTGCGATTTCATGTTCCAAACATATTGCTCACTATATGTCTGCTGCAGAGAGACAAGAGGGCATGAGAAAAGTTTTGATCAGTCATGGAAATAAAAGTGCTGAAAACATGTTGGCTGCCTATTTAAAAAGAAGACTGAACAAGCTATAGGATGAAAAATACCAGGTATAGCCAACTAGTGCTAGCTAGCAAAAAAATATACGTTTTTATTTATTTTTACAAATCAATACTTGGAGTCAAAGTATCAATATAATATTGTCCAAAATAATATTGATTCCCCCCCCACCCTCCACCCCCTTTGCCTTCTCTAACTATGTGACTAAGCGTCATTGACGAGTACCTTACCACCGTACAGGATAGGCAGTGTGTGAGCTGAGGGGGTAGCCTAAACACTAAGAAATAGGGAGTGTTTCGGACTAACTGGCTGACACAGCCTTACCTCCACCAGCTGCATGAGGTTCTCGAAGAACTCCTCCTCGTCGATGCTGAGCTTGCCGTTGTGATAGATGATGCGGTAGTGCTCCACCTTGCCTTCACAGCTGACACACAGGGTGTAGTCCCCAGGGTAGTTGGTGCTCTCCCTCGCCAGGAACAGACCCGTCTCTGGGGGGTAGAGGAGGCGCTCTGCCTGCTCCCGCGTTATCTTACCATGGAACCATCTGAAGAGGGACAGGAGGAGGAGAGAGGGGGACGGACAGGACAGAGATAGGGCCTTAATGGACTACAGAAATGACCATACCAATGTCATCAAAATACATAAAGGGTCAAAAGACAAGCTAATAATTAGAGGGGAGATCTACTCATTATTATTGCTAGCATGCAATGTTGGCCATGTAATACCCATACAAAGCCCTGTATTAAAATAGTTTATAAACAGTCAGCCATAGACACAAGGTAAAGGGGACAATAGCAGTAGTTCAGCATAATGTAAGGCAGTGGTATTTCTAGGCGGTTGTGCTTAGAGCAGTGGAGTGAGCCTGTCTGTGTCTCAAGGAGCCAGTGAGAAAGTGCCTTGGCATAAACAGGAAACGCCGACCTACACACAAACACACAGGGGCAGGCAGAGTCGGAAACTGACACAGGCTCTGCAATAACAGGAAAATGCAAAGCAGCTCAGGGCAGGCAAGACGCAGGGCAGGGCCTGCCAGACCTCTCCATTCACAGGGAGGTGAGACCACACAAAGAGCAGCACAGCGTCTCTCCTCACCTCAGAACACAGTCTATGAAACCTGCCCTCGGCTGACCGCAAGGCAAGCTGCAGGACACTGGACTAACACTGGCTTTATAAAGCTCTCTTAGGGAAAACACATGTGGTTCCCTTCTTTGTTTTAGCTCAAGCTATTAAACACGGCCCCTACCTCACCTCTCATGTATAACATCTATAGGCTTTTACTGGATAAACCCCACCCCTTGCTTGGCTTTCTCCTTAAGATCATGTATCTCTTATCTATTCCACCCATGTAGTAGAACCTAACACAGAATCCCCCAGCAGTATGTAAACAGTAGCAGCAGGACTGAGGTCCACAGGGGTCTCTGGGGGCTGGTGAGTTAAGGGTAATCAAAGTGTGTAATAGATTTACACACTTCCCTCCCTCCCTCCGTTGCCCAGCACCAAGACAGACAGACAGAGCAGGGCCTGTGCTGTGCAAAGCGGCTTAATGCGGAGGGAGGATTGAGTTGATTAGATCAGCGGAGCTGCTTCTCCATGGACAGCAGCCTCCTTAACTCCCATTAATCTGAGAGCAGGCGCCAGTAAGCCAGAAGTCAGCCAAATACTGAGTAACCAACAGCCAAAACACAGGAGGAGCACACAGGAGCTACACAGTAGCTACCAGCCAAACATATGACCAACCAGTCAAACACAGGAGCAACCAGTCAGGCCATTTAATGAGGAAGCAGGGCATGTAATATGTGTCATTTATATGTTGCAGTTTGTGCTACTCATTATCATTAGTCATACGATGGGAGAAAGGGAAAACAGGCTGCTAGAAGTAAGGGGAAAATGGAGTAAGGAAGGACAGTGGGGAAGGACGTAGGAGAAACTGCAGTGAGCAGGAGACGGAGGCCTTTTGTCAGTCTTCTTTAGGGTGGTACTGTATCCCCTCTCCCTACCAACAGGAGTAGATGACTACCAGCAGGTGACAGCAGTGAGCTGTGAGGTCAGAGAGCAGCATCTCTCAGGGTGTGGAGACCAACAGACCCAAGAACACAGCTGACACTGTTACCAATTCATAACATCATAACAACCCCCCCCCCCCCCCCCCTCGGACTCTCACCACTAACCACTCCTCTCTGAGGGGATGTATCATTGGCTGTATTTACAGAGAGTTTGCTCTCTTACAGCTGAAGGAGAGTAGGAGGACAGTGGGCTCTGCTCGGTCCCTCCACTGGTGACCTCTACTTCATAAGGACAGCAGACCCTCTCCCTCCAGCCAGTTCCCTGTCCAGTGGAGTAGCCTTGCCTTTGTCCTTCCTTGTAACACTTGACTGGTCGCCCTTCACCACACAGCTTGAGCTTTCCTCTCCTCAGCTGGGTGGTTAAGCTCAGAAGATGGGGATGGTGGGGGAGAGAGTCTGCAGTGTGTGTGTGTGTGTGTGTGACAGAGATAGGGAGAGAGAGAGAGAGACACACACCATCAGTGTGTTTTGGTCCAGCACGTTTGAGTGCAGCAACCTCAGCCACCTGACTGGCATCATCTCCCAGCCTTGTCCTGTGTGTGTGTGTGTGTGTGTGTGAGAGATAACTCTGCAATTTCCTCCTGGCCTCCTGTTTTATTCCATTTGCATATGTCTTTTGTTTTTTTCCTCTTTTGAAATAACTGTCCCTTCAAAGAGCCCGATTCAAATCGCAGCGCCAGTTAGCCCCACCCACAGTGGCAGGCAGCCACCCAGAGAGCAGCGAAGGGACAGAGGAGGCAAAAGACAACAAATATATTACCAACGTCTCCTATCAGGCCTTTGTAACACTCCATTTCTGATTAACTAAGCCCCATATTCAGACCTTTATTATACAGTGAAACATGGGAACTCCTCACAGGTAAAAGCACATCCTGTGTGACAGAGCAGCAAGGTACTGTCTTGTGTACTTACGGCATAAGACTGAGTTTTCCCCCTGACTTGACCCCTTCCCTTTTCTGGACGTAGTTAGCTGGGATGGTTCCCTCTCTGCCCACTGTGTTCTTCGCTTTGTACCAGTTGGGATCCTGAAACAGCAGTAGAAACACCCTTTAACACAGCTGTATAATACCACAGCTGTATAAAAGTCCAGCACCATAACGGTTTTACATTGACATAGGAATGCCATTTCCTCAGTAAAGAAAGGTGAGCCTTGCTTACCCTGGTGACTCCGATGATGGTCAACACATCTCCTTTACAGAAAGGCAGGTCCTGTTCATTCGTCGACTGGAAGTTGTACTTGGCTACACACTCTGTGCCAGGCAACCATGGCACCTAGGTCACGAGTGAAGAGGAGAGGAGCTGTTATAACTGAGATTGAAGGTTACAGATAGTCATAGCTTGGACGAGTGACTTGCATTTACGTAATTGACACTCAGGGAGAAATTCAATTGCCCTAGGGTTACAATAACACATTATCACAAGCATATAAAGGTCTACAATTCAATGGTAGCTTGACTGGTTTGTCCTATATGCTGTTTAGCCCATATAGAATTGTGGGCCTATTCTTAGGCATTAACTGTGAGGCTCCTATGTCTAACCGGTGATGTTGTGGCATCAGTGTTGTAATTAACAATATCTTCATAGGAGTCATGGTTGTATGTTATCGGTTAGAGGCAATGAGAATACAAAGCAGCAGGTGTGTGACAGCCTGGCTGCGTCCGAAATGGCACCCTATTCCCTAGAGGCTCTGGTCAGTAGTAGTGCACTATATAGGGAATAGGGTGGGACGCAGCCAGAAGTAGTGCACTATATAGGGAATAGGGTGGGACGCAGCCAGAAGTAGTGCACTATATAGGGAATAGGGTGGGACGCAGCCAGAAGTAGTGCACTATATAGGGAATAGGGTGGGACGCAGCCAGAAGTAGTGCACTATATAGGGAATAGGGTGGGACGCAGCCAGAAGTAGTGCACTATATAGGGAATAGGGTGGGACGCAGCCAGAAGTAGTGCACTATATAGGGAATAGGGTGGGACGCAGCCAGAAGTAGTGCACTATATAGGGAATAGGGTGGGACACAGCCAGAAGTAGTGCACTATATAGGGAATAGGGTGGGACGCAGCCAGAAGTAGTGCACTATATAGGGAATAGGGTGGGACACAGCCACTATCCTCATATAACCTGGTGTATTCCTGAAGCAATGCACTACGCACAGCTCTGTGTGTCTGATAACGTTATCTGGACACATCCCTCAATCATTTCACGATAGGCGTCAAAGAGAGATGAGCGTCACAGAGGGAGCGATGTGAGAGTTATGTACTGTTGTGTGCCAAATATTAAAATAATTTGGGTTGATAAGCAAATGTGAAGCCGGGGGATGCAGGGGGGTGGTAATCATCCTATGCAGCTGTTGCCAGATGATAAGCAGAAGCACTAATGTCAGTCAGTTGGGAAATATGACACTTCTGAAAGGGGCAGGGCACATTACAATGTGTGTGTGTGTGTGTAAGTAGTATTCGTGCGTTGGTGATGCGCGGGTTGACTCATAACCTTCAGTCCCAGCGGTTATATCTGCGGGGCAGGCGCGTTTAGGGTCATGAAATATTGTGTGGATGAAGGGCGGGTGGGTTGAATAAAGAGAAAACAATACCTTTAAAAAAGTATATCATTCTTGTGCAACTTATATCTATAGGCTACATTGAGGTTTTTCTTTCATTATTTTAGGCTATCTGACATTAGTATGTCAGCCTGGGCTTTAGGGCGCAACTGTACGTACGGCAAACAGCCTACACGCCAATCACAAAATGCTTTTGAAAATAAAGAGAAGGGAGGCCAGAAAAGTCATGTTTTGGAAAGATTTGGTGAAGTGGTAAGAGGATGATTGCAGTGTTATGTGTGATGATTGTGAAGCTCTGTACAAATTCGACAGTCACAAGACGGGGACTTCAAATAGGCCTATGGCACGTCAAGGGAACTGCAGCCTATTGTTCAGATGGGTTAAATGGAAACTGAAATCTGGACACTATAACCTCTCTCATAGCCTTAATATTAACTCCTGCAGAATTAAGCATTTCTTGTAGTAAAATGATACACCAAATGTAGGCAAATATTCTGTATTTCTTTCAGCATCTTGAGAGAATGCAAATGCAGTGTTAACACCTCTACATGCGGTATCTATCTTTATTGGCATCATAAAACCTGATAGTATTTCAACCACATAAAATATGCATCCAAGCAGAACTGAAATCTTATCAGAAACATGTTGGGTCGTTTTAATAGCTTTCTATTTTCTTACAACCAGTCAAACTGATGTCATTTGGAAACTTTGCACAGAAAATCTTCCCAGTTTCTTTAGAGTTATTGAATTTTTTCGGCCGGTCCCTAAACATCTTTGCTCCGCGAAAGAAGCAGAGATGACAGAGCACTTTAACCGATGTCAACTAGATTGCAGCATTAATTCTATCGATTTATTACATTTTGGTGAGCAAGGATATATTTAGTATTCTAGGGCAGCGATTCTCAACTGATGGGTGGTTATGAGTGGGTTGTAGGTGTCGTCCCCCCCCCCCCCCAAAAAAAAAAATCTAATAAATTAATTAAAACATTTATTAAAAAAATAGTCCAGTCTAAACAAACGTAAACGACCAGGTAGAAAGTGTGTAGAAATTATAATGAACTTATTTTTTTATAATTTAATATCAGATTTGTTTTTCTTCAATCACATCATTTTCAATACAGCGCTATTAGCAGCACTATTTTGGTTGATTTTGTGGTCTCAAACCAGTGAGTTTATTAACATTCTTCATCAAGAATATGCGCAACATTTTATTATTGACAATGAAAGAGGTGGGAATGTTGTTCCCTTCTCAAATAATTGCTACATTTACTATCAATATAGCATTACAAATATTTTTCCTGATTGTATTTTGCCGATTATTTTTTGCGATGCCAATATTGGGTCACGACTGAGACAACCTGGTTCAATTTGGGTCCAGATGCCACACCAGTTGAGAACCACTGTTCTAAGGCAACATATAATGACAGAAGAGAAGCTGCAGGTATGTAATTATAGACTAGTTGACTAATAGCCTACCAAAATAATCCTGCACCCCCTACCAACAAATGGTTCCGCTCTGTCTGACTGTAGCCTAAAGTGCATTTTCTATATTAGAGGGTTAGGGTCAGTCATGGGCCTCAGATTTTCACATATAGTTGCGGATGGGTTATTAGCAATCGCAAGCAGGGATGAACAAACAGCTGACCTGCGCACTACTAGTGTGCGTGTGTAGGTGTGTTCTCCTCTCACCTGGATCCCAGACATGGTAAAGGGGGTGGGGGAGGGGGGAAGCAGGTGAGGTGTCCTCAGGCAGGTGTCACTGGTCAGCTGGTACCATCAGAGCTGTAGGACAACAGAAGAGAAGACAGACAGTCAATCACCATGTATTGTGGTTACCGCTGACAGACTAACATCACACTGGGACAGGATCTAGGCTCAGCCAAAATAGGCCTGGTAGAGAACCACATCATGTGGTCTGGTGAGTAAGCAAAAGAGAACCAGATTCAAATGTTACTCTGGTTAGTTTCTGTTAAACAGAATTCAAATCTGCAGTTTCCTTTCTGTCAACTCAGTCGCTGTGAAGAAGATTTATGTGCAGAGGGAAAATAATAGCCTACTGACACTACCTTGCTTTTCAACCAAGGCGCATGAACACTGGAGCAAGCTGAAGATGAAGAAAGAAGCTTAATGTGCTCTTATAAACTGCAATAATAGCCTACGTACCAGAATGAGTCAAATATAGCCCCCAGAAAAAAAGACTCCTTTATGCTAATAAGCATTTCTAAGAGCTAATAATTACTCCTCTGTCCACTATGACCTTCAGAGCGAGGCGAATGCAGGAGAGTTGATCCGCCCAAAGGAACAGATGCCTCCCTCTGCCTGTTGTCTGCTGCTCTGCTCTCTAAAGCTAAACCCACCACTATCTCAGCTCATCTGTGGCAGGCAGGGCTCTGTGCTGTGAGAGCGGAATGATCTGTATTGGCTGGAGGTAGCCTACCCTACAGTGTTTCTACCCTACATGTAGCCTACAGTATACAGGCAGCTCTGAGAGAGCAATATGATCTGTATTGGCTGGACCTAGGCTACAGTAGCGAGCAATATGATCTGTATTGGCTGGACCTAGGCTACAGTAGCGAGCAGTATGATCTGTATTGGCTGGACCTAGGCTACAGTAGCGAGCAGTATGATCTGTATTGGCTGGACCTAGGCTACAGTAGCGAGCAGTATGATCTGTATTGGCTGGACCTAGGCTACAGTAGCGAGCAGTATGATCTGTATTGGCTGGACCTAGGCTACAGTATGCAGGCAGAACACAGCAGATGCCTGGCCTGAAGCGTGTCTCTGTGCTCTGTCCCTGAGGATGAGAACGAGGAGGCCGGAGAAAAGACTGGAGGCACACGACAAGGTCAAATCACGACAGGAGGGCCAGTACAGTATCTCACCAGTCAACCCACTGCCTCGCTCACAACCTCATCTACTGCCTCTCTCCTGCATCTCACTTCAGACCGCCCGAGAACAGGAAGTGAGGGGGAACTGAGAAGTGGAAATGGCTGACTCGTATTTTCCGACGGCTTGGTGGTGGGGGGGGATGGGGGGCATTAGGCTCTAATAAATGTCTCTCACTATTGTAAATCGGTGCTCTGTCTGTAGCGAAGTGGGAGGCACTGGCACTCTGACCAGGGACTCTATTCACTGGCAACATTCTTTACAGTGCTGCCGTTTGGCTGTGGTAGTGTCCAGCCTGTCCATGTTATGTGGACAGCAGCCCCACCCAGCCAGATACTGATTGTAACCTGGTGCTTTTGGAACTCCATAAATGTACTGTAGAATTCTAGAGCCATTCAATTATGCATGTCCACTGTCCAGAAGGCCTAGGTGGGCTGGCTGGTCTCATCCATACAGCCACTAGTGTATCAATGGCCTCACAGCACAACAGACCCATAGCACTGCTAGGCCTATATCCTGTGTTAAAACAGGAAGCTGGCTAATTGCAGACTGTTGCAGATCTGTATGCAAACTGACATAGCCAAATATAGCAGCTCTGGTATACCCAGAGGGCACCCATTTTTCTATTTGCCATTCTTAGTGTCAGTCAGTGCAAAGGGAAAGCATCACGCCAAAACCTGTTGGTTTTAATAATAAAGATGCATTTCTTTAATCTAGCCTATTTCCATTGTCCTCCAAGAGGGACTGAATATCCTCCTCACTTCAGTGTCAGTCAGCATGTGTGTGTGAAACAGCCATATTCCATCATCCATGGCTCCTATAGTGCTGGTGAAAGGAGATGATTCAACACAGAGCTGGTGAGGAAATCCAGGCAAGGTTTCTGAACCAAGGTAAGGCGGCGGATTATGTCTGAGAAATGAGCTCAATTCCAGCAGCAGTGCTGACGTCCTGAGGTCAAAGACAGAGATGCTTAGCGCCCATTCAGCAAGTCAAGTTCACTGAGCTGCCTACACACACACACAGACGCAGCCATGTGAGTGATGCTCTATACCTCCGAGCGTTATCTTCTCCTTTCCCACTCACTCATCCCCTCTATTCTTTTCAGCTGTCGCAGGCGCCCTGCTGATATCGCTACCGTGGAAACCCACTGAGTGATGTAACACACACTATGCAGCCATGATAACTGCCTCTTCATATAGCGGGACACTCCTTTCTCCGCTGAGTTCAATGACTCATTATGTGCACCATTTAGACTACATTCACACTAGGTCTACATCAATCCAGTCACAGAGCCAAGAAATATTGCTGAGAAAGAGACACCGTACTACAGACCATCCATAAACTACATTTTACAAGCATAGATCTCCACTTTCAGCCATCTAGTTGGAAGAAAAACTTTACGCCACTCTCCAGTGTTTAGAAAACAAATCTCTGAAAGGAAAACCATCAATCCAAAACCTCTCATAGTACTCTTCTCTCTAGCCATCTAGTGTTGAATGAACACTACTGACAGCCATAGTAAATCTACTATTTCTACCATGTTATGCTTATGTGTGGTCAACAACCACTAAGCAAGCAAGTAGGTACTCCGTGTGTGTGTGTGTGTGTGTGTGTGTGTGTGTGTATATATATATATATATATATATGCCAGAAGATCCTCCCCAGATGGATAGCATTGCTTCGGCTACATGTGAAGTCTTCTTCAGGTGTACAGTGAGATCATTTTGCTTGTGCAGTCAGTGTGCTACTGATTGTTTTCCTGTGCTGGCTGAAGTCTCCATGGCTGCAGCTGGTAGGAAGTGAACAGTAATTCACACTTCCTTTCAAAAAACAACCACACACACAATCATGATTAGGCCTACAGTATATTACAACTATGCTAGTGAGAGACAAAGAGCGTTGCGTAGGTGCCACATTCTGAAAACTCTATTCTGAGTAGTAAGCTAATGTTTCTCCACAGCCTATGCATGACAGGTTGCTCCAGTTAGACATGGATGGTGCACAGAGGTGAGTTCACATTTCAGAACTCAACTACCTCACATGACCCAAGTGTCTGGCAGTGGTGGTCAGTGCTGTTCAAGATTAGGGAGGATGATTTTTTTTTAACTGAGCATGGCCTTATTTTTATTAAAGCATATTGGCTGACTGTCATTCATATTCCATATCATTGTAACATCGATAGGTTTAGGCTCCTAAAATGAGACTAATTTGCCCTATATCCATCATGAGGTTGCTACAACGTAGCCTACAAATTAAAGTTTATAACGTAGGTGCACAGGTCAAGAGACAAAATTGGAGTAATCAAGGTGAGACAGTGACACGTTCAATACCGCCTTGCACACACTTGCCTGAATCTAGCTGATCTGGTGTGTAATCATTAGTCAAAACAGTTGCTGCAACTAAAACTAGTTTATTGGACAAATTCAGGTAGGTCCCTCCCAGTTTCATTCAGTTTGCTTCAATTTAAGAAACGTTTTGCAACTAAATTGGCAGAATGAATACACCCCATTACCATCACACACAGTTCATTTCATAGCAGCCACATACAGCATCATCACTATGCGCATTGTACTGTATAATTCCTCCTTTCACCTTGGCTTGTAGACTTCAGTGCACAACACAACAGCTGTTTGTGACCAGGTGCAAATACTTTTCCAAGCCAAACCTTCATAGCATAACCACAAACCGCTACACAGCCTACATCGTTGTAATTTAGGCCGGGACGCAACATTTCTTTCATGGCAAAAATAAAAATAAATCAAATCAAATGTTATTGGTCACATGCGCCGAATACAACAGGTGCAGACATTACAGTGAAATGCTTACTTACAGCCCTTAACCAACAGTGCATTTATTTTAAACAAAAAAGTAAAAAAATAAAACAACAACAAAAAAAAGTGTTGAGAAAAAAAAGAGCAGAAGTAAAATAAAGTGACAGTAGGGAGGCTATATATACAGGGGGGTACCGTTGCAGAGTCAATGTGCGGGGGCACCGGCTAGTTGAGGTAGTTGAGGTAATATGTACATGTGGGTAGAGTTAAAGTGACTATGCATAAATACTTAACAGAGTAGCAGCAGCGTAAAAAGGATGGGGTGGGGGGGCAGTGCAAATAGTCCGGGTAGCCATGATTAGCTGTTCAGGAGTCTTATGGCTTGGGGGTAGAAGCTGTTGAGAAGTCTTTTGGACCTAGACTTGGCACTCCGGTACCGCTTGCCGTGCGGTAGCAGAGAGAACAGTCTATGACTAGGGTGGCTGGAGTCTTTGACAATTTTGAGGGCCTTTCTCTGACACCGCCTGGTATAGAGGTCCTGGATGGCAGGAAGCTTTGCCCCAGTGATGTACTGGGCCGTACGCACTACCCTCTGTAGTGCCTTGCGGTCGGAGGCCAAGCAGTTGCCATACCAGGCGGTGATGCAACCAGTCAGAATGCTCTCGATGGTGCAGCTGTAGAATTTTTTGAGGATCTGAGGACCCATGCCAAATCTTTTTAGTCTCCTGAGGGGGAATAGGCTTTGTCGTGCCCTCTTCACGACTGTCTTGGTGTGTTTGGACCATGATAGTTCGTTGGTGATGTGGACACCAAGGAACTTGAAGCTCTCAACCTGTTCCACTACAGCCCCGTCGATGAGAATGGGGGCGTGCTCAGTCCTCTTTTTTTTCCTGTAGTCCACAATCATCTCCTTTGTCTTGGTCACGTTGAGGGAGAGGTTGTTGTCCTGGCACCACACGGCCAGATCTCTGACCTCCTCCCTATAGGCTGTCTCATCGTTGTCGGTGATCAGGCCTACCACTGTTGTGTCGTCGGCAAACTTAATGATGGTGTTGGAGTCGTGCCTGGCCATGCAGTCATGGGTGAACAGAGAGTACAGGAGGGGACTGAGCACGCACCCCTGAGGGGCCCCCGTGTTGAGGATCAGTGTGGCAGATGTGTTGTTACCTACCCTTACCACCTGGGGGCGGCCCGTCAGGAAGTCCAGGATCCAGTTGCAGAGGGAGGTGTTTAGTCCCAGGATCCTTAGCTTAGTGATGAGCTTAGAGGGCACTATGGTGTTGAATGCTGAGCTGTAGTCAATGAATAGCATTCTCACGTAGGTGTTCCTCTTGTCCAGGTGGGAAAGGGCAGTGTGGAGTGCAATAGAGATTGCATCATCTGTGGATCTGTTGGGGCGGTATGGAAATTGGAGTGGGTCTAGGGTTTCTGGGATAATGCTGTTGATGTGAGCCATGACCAGCCTTTCAAAGCACTTCATGGCTACAGACGTCAGTGCTACGGGTCGGTAGTCATTTAGGCAGGTTATCTTAGAGTCCTTGGGCACGGGGACTATGGTGGTCTGCTTGAAACATGTTGGTATTACAGACTCAGTCAGGGACATGTTGAAAATGTTAGTGAAGACACTTGCCAGTTGGTCAGCACATGCTCGGAGTACACGTCCTGGTAATCCGTCTGGCCCTGCGGCCTTGTGAATGTTGACCTGCTTAAAAGTCTTACTCACATCGGCTACGGAGAGCGTGATCACATAGTCATCCGGAACAGCTGGTGCTCTCATGCATGCTTCAGTGTTGCTTGCCTCGAAGCGAGCATAGAAGTGGTTTAGCTCGTCTGGTAGGCTTGTGTCACTGGGCAGCTGTTATATACTAAGCAGACCAAATTATTTGGTCCTTTAATAACCTGCTGTATGTAAAATAGTGTGTTCTATAGCTTGGAAAATAAATAAAATGTGACTCTGGATGACAACAAAGTTTTCCTAAAGAAGTTAAATCCGCTTCGTGCTTTGTTTCCTTGCCACTATACTAATGATATCGAAACACTGGTATCATCCCGGCCCTAGTTGTAACCATATTAGCGTTATAGTCATCAAACTAGAACTTACGTGTTAGTAATCCCACAGTCAAATCCAAGTGTACAATCAGACAGTACAGTGTACAACAAGCAGTTTAGCAGTTACACCGGCGGGCCCCGGTGGCAATAAATAAGTTGCAGTGTTGGATAGCCTTAGCCACCTAGCGAACATAAATAGCATTCCTCTCTGAGTCAGGTTGTTAAGTAGCTTAAATTAAAACTGCATTAGTAAGTAAATTAAAAGGTAAACTAAGAAAAATATATAGCTAGCTCTCCCTCTCTGCCGCTTCTACTTAATTTGAAGAAATGAATTTGTTCAAAACTGTTCAACTATCATCTTTCTCTGAGTCACCACACTTTATGCACTGCAGTGCTAGATAGCTGTAGCGTATGCTTTCAGTACTAGATTAATTCTCTGATCCTTTGATTGGATGGACAAGATGTTAATTCATACTGCAAGAGCTCTGATAGGTCGGACGACTTCCTCCAGAAGTCATCATAATTACTGTGCAAGTCTATGGAAGGGAGTGAGAACCATGAGCCTACAATTTTTTTTGTTTTAGTCAATGTACCCAGAGGAGGATGGAAAATAGCTGTCCTCCAGCTACACCATGGTGCTACCATAGCGGATGCTGTTGAGGCTACTGTAGAACTTCATTGCAAAACAGTGCGTTTTAAACAGTAATTTGGTGACATGTTGATGTTATGTTGGAAGGAGTTTCATGGTAGGCTCAGAGGTTGCAGGTGTGTTGGTGTGTGCTGGGCCTGTAGCACAGAGTTGGTATTTTCTGGCAGCAAAGAAAGGGACGGGGTGAAATGAGGAAATGTGACCTACTGACTATGCAAATACAAAGCAACAGCTCACACATTCACAGCTCAGTGGAGTGGTCTGATGTTGACGAGACAACAAGTGCATAACTGTCCACAACAGATGACTCAATAGTTTAGTTTTGAATGTGCAAAATTCTTTACACTATTAATTAGCCTAACCACACCAAAATCATAACCACATGTGATGATTCATGCAAAAGATATAACCTAGAACATATAGGTCAACTATGAAACATGATGTCATTGCATAGAGTATGGAAATCACAAGTGCTATGCACACAAGTGAGATATCATTAGTCTCTCTGCACAGAGGCATAGTGTAAACAATCCTATGTGACCAGGACAGTGAGTCCAGTGTTGTGACTTGTGTCCTCACAGCATCTACTTTCTACAGCCTAACTGAGTGAGGAGAACTGAACATGGACCCTCCCTTGCAGAGCGGAGTGCACAGTGGAAGTTTGAGGCATTGTGCCCTGTTAGGATTGTTGGCAGTTCTAAAGCAGAGCCCTGACAGACAGTATCAGGGGCTAACCTGCTCCAGTGAGCTGCAGTCAGACACAAGGCCCAGGCCTGGCTGTCGTGGTGTTGTCTACTGCCTCCCTCCTACAGTCCCTAGCAGCAGGAACCAGGAAGTGGGCTGCAATTAGTGCTAGCGCAGTGAGACACGATGTGCCCTGAGATAGAGCAGCCTGGATCCCTGAGTCTAATAAGCCCTTCTGTTCTTTTCATCTGTCTGCCCTAACCCTGTGTCCCGATGCCCCAGCAGCACTGCAGAGCAGAAATAACAGACAAATGGCACAACATGGGCTCATGAGTCACATGATACTTCCACGACGGGACCAGGTCAGCACCCCTAGCACAGAGCAGACAGACACAGGTGACTCCGAATATCTCACATGGCACTTTCTCTGGCAAAACAATTAAATGCTGTCCCTATTAAACCACGGTGCTGGCAAGCTTCCCTCACGCTAGGTGTTTGCAAGTCGCTCTGGATAAGAGCGTCTGCTAAATGACGTAAATGTAAATGTGTTTGTCAAAGTCTACATAAGGCACACACTATACTTACAATTGGGTTAGTTTCAGTACAAAAATAGAATACACAAGCCTTTGATTGTGGGGAATACACAAAACAAAAAGTGGAACAAGTGCAACATTGCATTCTGAGAACAGAATTATTATATCTGAGTGAAGTGATCAGCCTAGATCTGGATTCCTCTGTTCAAGAGTCATGTGGAGCAGCTATAGGGAGAGAAAGAAAAAGACAGAAAAAAAGAGAGGAAAAAAAAAATAGGAGAGACAGGAAAAGAGAAAGAAAATAGAGGGAGAAAGAGAGAGGGAGGTACAGTGGGGGAAAAAAGTATTTAGTCAGCCACCAATTGTGCAAGTTCTCCCACTTAAAAAGATGAGAGAGGCCTGTAATTTTCATCATAGGTACACGTCAACTATGACAGACAAAATGAGAAAAATAAATCCAGAAAATCACATTGTAGGATTTTTAATGAATTTATTTGCAAATTATGGTGGAAAATAAGTATTTGGTCAATAACAAAAGTTTCTCAATACTTTGTTATATACCCTTTGTTGGCAATGACACAGGTCAAACGTTTTCTGTAAGTCTTCACAAGGTTTTCACACACTGTTGCTGGTATTTTGGCCCATTCCTCCATGCAGATCTCCTCTAGAGCAGTGATGTTTTGGGGCTGTCGCTGGGCAACACAGACTTTCAACTCCCTCCAAAGATGTTCTATGGGGTTGAGATCTGGAGACTGGCTAGGCCACTCCATGACCTTGAAATGCTTCTTACGAAGCCACTCCTTCGTTGCCCGGGCGGTGTGTTTGGGATCATTGTCATGCTGAAAGACCCAGCCACGTTTCATCTTCAATGCCCTTGCTGATGGAAGGAGGTTTTCACTCAAAATCTCATGATACATGGCCCCATTCATTCTTTCCTTTACACGGATCAGTCGTCCTGGTCCCTTTGCAGAAAAACAGCCCCAAAGCATGATGTTTCCACCCCCATGCTTCACAGTAGGTATGGTGTTCTTTGGATGCAACTCAGCATTCTTTGTCCTCCAAACACGACGAGTTGAGTTTTTATCAAAAAGTTCTATTTTGGTTTCATCTGACCATATGACATTCTCCCAATCCTCTTCTGGATAATCCAAATGCACTCTAGCAAACTTCAGACGGGCCTGGACATGTACTGGCTTAAGCAGGGGGACACGTCTGGCACTGCAGGATTTGAGTCCCTGGCGGCGTAGTGTGTTACTGATGGTAGGCTTTGTTACTTTGGTCCCAGCTCTCTGCAGGTCATTCACTAGGTCCCCCCGTGTGGTTCTGGGATTTTTGCTCACCGTTCTTGTGATCATTTTGACCCCACGGGGTGAGATCTTGCGTGGAGCCCCAGATCGAGGGAGTATATCAGTGGTCTTGTATGTCTTCCATTTCCTAATAATTGCTCCCACAGTTGATTTCTTCAAACCAAGCTGCTTACCTATTGCAGATTCAGTCTTCCCAGCCTGGTGCAGGTCTACAATTTTGTTTCTGGTGTCCTTTGACAGCTCTTTGGTCTTGGCCATAGTGGAGTTTGGAGTGTGACTGTTTGAGGTTGTGGACAGGTGTCTTTTATACTGATAACAAGTTCAAACAGGTGCCATTAATACAGGTAACGAGTGGAGGACAGAGGAGCCTCTTAAAGAAGAAGTTACAGGTCTGTGAGAGCCAGAAATCTTGCTTGTTTGTAGGTGACCAAATACTTATTTTCCACCATAATTTGCAAATAAATTCATTAAAAATCCTACAATGTGATTTTCTGGATTTTTTCCCCTCAATTTGTCTGTCATAGTTGACGTGTACCTATGATGAAAATTACAGGCCTCTCTCATCTTTTTAAGTGGGAGAACTTGCACAATTGGTGGCTGACTAAATACTTTGTTTCCCCACTGTATGTGGGCATCCCTCCGTAGCGCTCCCCTCCACCTCATTAAACAGAGCCTGGCTCTACCATCTGCTGCACGCCACCTTTTATCTAGCGCTGCTTCTCTCCGTTTTTAGACATGGTCCGTTCTTCACAGTCCCACTGAAACGGCTGGACCCATCTGTTGTTTATCTTGTTCTCCTACTCTTCGTTTCAGGGGGACAGACAGATGAACAACAACAGGCTGACTACATGTGAGAGGAGAGAGAGCTCGTGTTCAACTTCCCCCTGAGGTCCTGACCTGACCCCTTCAGTCCTCAGCCTGGATCTCATCTAGAACCAGCAGTACCAGGTATTCCAAGTCCATACAAATACTCACTATTAGACCTTCACCATATTACCATTAAAAAAGGCCCAATGCAGCCATTTTGATCTAAATATCAAATCATTTCTGGATAACATTACGTTTTCAAACAAAATGGTCAAAAAGAAACTAAAATAGCTACTTAGCTAAGAGCAATTTCTCAAGCAAGAATTTTGCTAGGACTGTCTGGGAGTATTCTGAGAGGGGAGGGAAAACAGAAAACTAGCTGTTATTGGCAGAGGTTTGGAACGCTTTCTTATTGATCCATTAACTACTTTACCGCCTGGTGATGTCACCAGGCAGGCCAAAACTCCATCCCACAAAAACTGCCAGAAATTTACATTTAGGTCATTTAGCAGACGCTCTTATCCAGAGCGACTTACAGTTAGTGAATGCATTATTTTTATTTTTCTCTCAGGGGGGGAGTGGGTGACGAAGGAGTTCATTGAACATAGACAAATCGAGGCAGAAGGAGCTTGAGCCATGAACAGGGATTTGGGAGGCTGAGTGTGACTGCTCAATCCTGACAGCAAGGTACCGGCACTAGTAGCCAAATAGACTGCTGCAGTGTCTTAAACACGCAGAGAAGCAGTCTGTCTGCCTGCCTGCCTACATCAATGTGCCTCATTGCACTGCACAGCTCCCCCCTCAGTCTACAGGAGAAGCAGGAGTAATAGGCGACAAAGAGCCTCATTACACACAGCAATGAGAGGGTTCAGCAGAGCAGGGTCCTGGTACAAAAAGGCAAATCATTCATCTCCAACTGACAGACTCTGTGGCAGGGGAGAGTGAGAAGGAGGGAGAGTGACAGGAAGGACAGAGAGGAGAGGGGGAGAGTGTGACAGGGAAGACAGAGGAGGGGGAGAGAACAGAGGAGAGTTAGGGAGATGGACATAGAGAAGAGAGGTTGCGGGGTTAAGGCCTGTCCTGTGCTGCTGTGGTAAAGGCTTCAGGGCTGACTAGGGCTGAAAGGAGAGGTGCTCCCTGCTGCAGTGTTATCCAGAGCAACTTACAGTAGTGAGTGCATACATTTTCATACTTTACCGTACTGGTCCCCTGTGGGAGTTGTTTCACTCTGACACTAAACATGAATAATGGAGCCACACCCCCGCGGCCATCGGACCCTACTGTACACCAGCCAGCACAGCGAATAAATCACACACACAGCTAGCCTGCGAATAATGAATCCCTAACCACAGACTTCCATTAGCACCCTCCACAGTGACACAAATGTACACTCAGAGAGTGGAGTTGAATTCTATTTCTCATATATCCTCTTTAAAGATATAGGCTCCTGATGAGATAAAATAAGGCAATTGTGGTAGGCTACAATACATTTCATATCTTCTGATATAATCTCTGTGAGACAAAGATAAATGTCAATAAAGATATTCAACAAATGAAAAGGCAGAATGAACAAACATCCTTCGTTGTAATGAAGGCAACGCATTCTTGATAGGGAAATTAAAATGGTCACATGGTGCAGACATTAGGGTTTAGTGAGTGCAAGACTGCAAGTCCTCGAGCTCCAGGTCAGGGCACTGTGTGCTGAAGTGTGTTTGATCTCCTCCTCTAGTCTCCACATATGGCCTAGATTCACATAGCCCACATCAAGTCACATCACACTCACCATACACAGTCTCACACAGCCAGAAAGACGCACACAAAGATGTAGCCAGAACACACTCGAGCATCATATGCTTTTGTGTTGAGTTATTTTCTTAACACCGACTTTGTATGAGCGGAGTAGTGAAGAGCTCATCTCAGAGGCAAACCATTCATCATTACTGATATAAAAAATCCTTCTCTCAATTACATTATAATACCACACGGGTCTGCATGCAGTCTCCCTCTCACACAGAGGTGCCAAGACATGTGTGGCGTCTTCATTAGAATCTCAAACAACCAACATTAGGAAATACATTTAACAGAATGAGGGCAAGAAAGCAAGCAGATGCCTCAATGCTCAAGGGTGTGAAGACACAAGTAGGGTTGGAGAGAACCTAAAACATGCCCAACAGTGGTAAAATGAAAGCCATGGTATCCTACTCCCACTGACTGCATTATAAAGTGACTAGAGTTGCAGGCAGAATTGAGCCCATTAAGACAGAAGAAGGGCTGAGAAATGGGGTGTGTGCAGCACAAAGAGGCCTCTTTTTGTCTGACCTGCATAAAAAGAGGCCATCAGAGATAAGGTGTGTGTGTGTGTGTGAGACAGAGAATCAATGAGATCATAGGCCTAGTGAGAGATGCTCAGAGAGGATTTCTGCAAAGTAAACAGCAAATGTTTGCAGAGGCAGCAGTTGCAGGCAGCCAGGCAGCCCTGTGGAGCAGAGAGAACAGGCCAACAGGCTCTGTTTATGACCGTACAATAGCCTAACATACTGAGGGTGAAGATAACCTCATGCACAAACATTGGTCCAGACTTAACAAACTTAACATAAACACGTACAGGCCATTGGCATTTCCATGTCTATGATGGAACCATGGCTTCAGACTTCTGTTAGCTATGTGCTTTGCAATGCATGACAGCGCAAGACAAAGCATTGCACTGCGGTTAGATGGTATATCTCTACTGCTCTCTCCTCTCTTTTCAATGCAGACACATAGCACATTAGACTACCTGTTGATGCAGGTCCATGTAGAGTGGTGCAATGTGTAAAGGGCAGCCATACTAAAGGTCTATAGGGCCAGAGAGCAGGGGTGTATTCACTAGGAACCAAACGGAAGTAAACGGAATAAAACGGGGAGGGCACTTACCTGAATAGAAACTCTAGTTTTCGTTGCAAAACGTTTTCAACTGTTTGGACTAATGATAACACCCCAGCCACGTCAGGCCCAGCAGAGGTCAAAGTCCAGAGAAAAGAGCCATGGAGCGGGAGCAAAGAGTAGCATCGCATGACAGAGGTTGGGGTGCTGGATAACCCTAGCTTACACAAATGTAGGATCTATTTAGGATAACCCTAAATCACAATATTGATCCATAGAGATAGATAAGTGAAAGGGATCTGGGTACATCCCACTGCGAGGACCTCTAATGCACCATTCCATCTGAAACCATTCAACTAGGCTACATGAAGGCAAGAGCTACTTCTAAAGCATGAAACACACAGAATCTCACTGCCGATAGACTGCCGATTGGTACTTATGACACCGTTCCTTCTCTTGCTAGAACCAAAGCGGTACCTGCTGCGTGCCGACCCGATAGCGACGAACCTACCGATTCTACTTGTAGAATCGCAATGCTCGTCAGTGGCCAACAACTTGACTTTGAGCCAATCAAAGAGCACAAAACTCCACGTGGGGGAGCCAACAAAAAAAAAAGGGGGAGGGGGGCATTTTCTCCATCTACAGATGAGCCAGTCACACTTCATATGCAATGTAGGCTATAGGATGGTAGCTAGCTAAGCGTACAGACGCAATGCACAAAACACTATCTACTTCCTCAAAGCTAGCTAACCACTGCTGCTAGTATTGACATAATTAAATCACAATGGATTAGCAAGTTTCCATTAAACGGCTGCCCGTGTTAGCTAGCTAAGGACACTGCACTGTTGTGCTTGCTAGCGAATATGCTAACGTTTGCTAGCTAGATAAACATTTGGCTATGGGCTGGCACTGGCAGTATGAGACTATGGAGAGTGAATGAAATTGTTTCGTCTTCATCTTCCTAGGTCGTTATCTAGCTGTGACCATGTGGCTAGTATCAACAAGGGATTTCTACAAAATAGCAACATTAGCGCAGATAGCTTGGAATCTAGACCATAAACAATACGCACGGATAGGCATTGCCAAACAACGCTACTGCAACCTTCTGGTTTGGAGTATTTTAACAAGGCTGAGCTGCTGACCACTACCAAGGTCTTTGCTGTGTGAACACAAAAAATGGATTGACTGCTGACACTGTTCAGAGGTGCTAAGTACTGTCAGCAGGCAAACGTTTGACAATCCTACCGGTGTGTCTGAGCTTTTTCACATTTACTCAAACTCTACAGAGTCCCTGCCTCACCACAATGAGGTTAATGCTGCAAAACAAACCAACCAGGGTCAGAACATGCAGAATGACTGTCTGGCAGCACATTATAACAGAGGAGTTGGTTGGGGAGAAACTGGCGATGGCAGGGGTTTGTTTTCCCCAAAGCTGACCCTGAGGCAAAGGCCTGGAGAGACACGGCAGCTAGGCAGCCTGTCAGCAGAATGCTGTGTGTGTGTGTAAAGAGCAGAGCAGCACTGTTCAGACTGGACATCAGCGCCCATCCCACCTAGGTGGCCTGTCAAATACCAGACATAAACCACAACAAGAGCAGTGTCTGACAGTCAGCTCACTTCCAGAAGCTACTATTTTTAGATACAGGAAACTGAATTGGCATACTCAAAATTGAAGATGTTCCAGGAGTTGAGTGTGAAGTAGTAACAATTACTGCAAATAGTAATTATAGCTATTTATGCAGTGTTAATGACACTGCTAGTTGACACACTCAGTAGCTACACTGCACCCCAGTCAAGGACTGAAGAGAGCTTTGAGATAATTAAACTAGTGCTGCTTTTCTTAGTAATAAGTGTGATAACACAACGTGGCTGTACTGTGGTATGCTTTCACAGAGAACATGACCAGTCCCCCCACCATAGCAGAGTAGTCTGAAAGACAGAGACTGCAGACAAGCACATCACTATTCATGCTCCTCCTTTAGTATCAATCAATAGCTGATGCAAGTTCCTCTTGTTTTCCAGAAACCGTTGTCATGTCTGAGCTCGTCTTGGTACATCCTGATTGGCCAGCTAGCCCTTGGATGAGGGCTGCCTTTGGCCTGATTGGACAGCTGATGAGTCAAATGTGCTACATCATCAAGTTCAGAGGTGACTTGTAAGCTGATCAAATCCTTCTTGAAATCATATCAGGACAAATGGGCCTATCTGCTTTCAGGAAGTAAGCCTAGCCTATAACCTATCATCAAAGAGCTCAAAGAAGGTGTCAGATAAAACAGTTAAAATCTAGACTTTTGTAAGTGTCTACTGATCCATTGTTGAGAATTCCTGTCTTTGATGCTGGTTGTTATTTGAAGTTAGCTTGTACAAGTTGGACTAAATTCCATCAAACAGCAGATGAAAGTAGGAGATCGCTTCCCCACTGAGACAGATTTATCATCTAGGACTTATCCCGTGTTCCATACAAACAGGTCAGTCACGTCAACAACAACAGTATAGTTAGGCTATATGGGTCTACCCCCCACGGCCCCATCACAGTTACACAACCACCAACAATTTTCTCTCCCTTTCATTGAGGGCTCATAAAATCCAAAGTTAGCCATCTACCATAGAGCTGCTCCTAGGGAACGGCAGGGAAAGCAGGGGAAACCCCAGGCTAAAATACAGGACAGGCGAGCAGCATCTCTTCCCTGCAGTGACTTCACAACACTTCCTGCTAGCTAGGTGACCACAGGGCCAGAACAACCTCAGCCCTGTTCGACAAGACAATGAGGGTCACTTATTAATACCACATCTCCAACAGAAATAGAATGACTAAAACAGGCAAAGCCCCCCAGACCACAGCAATTTAACAAAACACTCAATATGGCTGACGTGTAGGCTAGGCCTAGCTACTGACATGACATTTCTATCATATGCCCGCTCCCAGATCAAATCAAATTTGATTTGCCACATGTGCCGAATACAACAGGTGTAGACATTACAGTGAAATGCTTATTTACAAGCCCTTAACCAACAATGTAGTTAAGAAAAATAAGTGTTAAGTAAAAAATAGATAAGTAAAAAAAGTTAAATAATTAAAGAGCAGCAGTAAATAAAATAACAGTAGGGAGGCTATATACAGGGGGTACCGGTACAGAGTCAATGTGCGGGGTCACCGGTTAGTCGAGGTAATAGGTACATGTGGGTAGAGTTAAAGTGACTATGCATAGATAATAAACAGTAGCAGCAGCGGGGTGGGACAATGCAAATAGTCCAGGTAGCCATGATTAGCTGTTCAGGAGTCTTATGGCTTAGGGGTAGAAGCTGTTAAGAAGCCTTTTGGACCTAGACTTGGCACTCCGGTACCGCTTTCCGTGCGGTAGCAGAGAGAACAGTCTATGACTAGGGTGGCTGGAGTCTTTGACAATTTTGAGGGCCCTTCCTTTGACACCGCCTGGTATAGAGGTCCTGGATGGCAGGAAGCTTGGCCCCAGTGATGTACTGGGCCGTACGCACTACCCTCTGTAGTGACTTGCGGTCGGAGGCCGAGCAGTTGCCATACCAGGCGGTGATGCAACCAGTCAGGATGCTCTCGAAGGTGCAGCTGTAGAACTTTGAGGATCTGAGGACCCATGCCAAATCTTTTCAGCCTCCTGAGGGGGAATAGGCTTTGTTGTGCCCTCTTCACGACTGTCTCGGTGTGTTTGGACCATGATAGTTTGTTGGTGATGTGGACACCAAGGAACTTGAAGCTCTCAACCTGTTCCACTACAGCCCTGTCGATGAGAATGGGGGCGTGCTCAGTCCTCTTTTTTTCCCTGTAGTCCACAATCATCTCATTTGTCTTGATCACGTTGAGGGAGAGGTTGTTATCCTGGCACCACACGACCAGGTCTCTGACGTCCTCCCTATAGGCTGTCTCGTCGTTGTCAGTGATCAGGCCTACCACTGTTGTGTCGTCGGCAAACTTAATGATGGTGTTGGAGTCGTGCCTGGCCATGCAGTCATGGGTGAACAGGGAGTACAGGAGGGGACTGAGCATGCACCCCTGAAGGGGCCCCCGTGTTGAAGATCAGCGTGTCAGATGTGTTTTTACCTACCCTTACCACCTGGGGGCGGCCCGTCAGGAAGTCCAGGATCCAGTTGCAGAGGGAGGTGTTTAGTCCCAGGGTCCTTAGCTTAGTGATGAGCTTTGAGGGCACTATGGTGTTGAACGCTGAGCTGTAGTCAATGAATAGCATTCTCATGTAGGTGTTCCTCTTGTCCAGGTGGGAAAGGGCAGTGTGGAGTGCAATAGTGATTGCATCATCTGTGGATCTGTTGGGGCGGTATGGAAATTGGAGTGGGTCTAGGGTTTCTGGGATAATGGTGTTGATGTGAGCCATGACCAGCCTTTCAAATGCCATGATCAGAGTTCATGATGCCAAACAAGGGTCAGTCCGTCATCCTGTCAGCCATTATCCTCATCAGGTTAACCAGTGTAATAGACAGTCAGGTTAGTCAGCCACAGCCAGCCCAGTATATAACAACAAAGTCTCTTGATGTGAGCTCTTCTGCATGGCTCTGTCTGGAGGAGGAAGTGATCTTCTGTTCCCATCGGCTCAACATTTATCTTTTGCTCATTAATTCAAATCAGCTCCCACAAACACAAAACCCTGACTGATGCCGTCCAAAGACCAACATTTGAATAATTAACCGTGGCCACCTGACGGTTCACACCACAGGGGGTTGTAATGGTTTTCTAAAGCAGGTTTGTGTCTTAAAACAGGCTGAAAACATAGGAGGGAAAGGCAACAAGGGATAGATAGCATTGAGTGACTGAACTTCAGTCACCTCTCCTATAAATCTGTCTACTATATTGAGCTGTGGAATGTCTCTCGGTGCTGTCTTTAAAGCATCACTTCCTGTTGAGAGTGATTACTGAGATAATAAAGTTTAGGTTGCAGCAGCTCTCAGATATGGCAGGCAGCGCTGTTGTCGGCTTGTCAAGTTAACTCCCCTCACCTCTGGGCGCATTCTCACAATGTCAACGTACACACACTGAGGTTGACCTGTGAAGGCCACAGTTACTAAAAGTAGTGGTGTGAGTGTGATTCTTAGCCTGTGCACCTGTGAGTGTCTTATAACGGTAACCACATTCTACCAAAATCCGTGTAGGACCTTTATAGAAGTCAAGAGGATGTGTGCTCTTACACAGCCCCGCAAACACTCAATTACACAGTATGAACAAATAGCGGCTTAAGCGGTTATTCTAAATCAGGGTTTTTAGGTCAGATTGGTGTAAAATGATTCTCAGCAGGAAGTGAGTCTCTACTGGGTCTCAGTGTGTGTGTGTGTGTGTGTGTCAGGCCAGCGGCTGTGCTCTCCTTATAAGTGGTCCTCTGTAGCTCAGCTGGTAGAGCACGGCGCTTGTAACGCCAAGGTAGTGGGTTCGATCCCCGGGACCACCCATACACAAAAATGTATGCACGCACGACTGTAAGTCGCTTTGGATAAAAGCGTCTGCTAAATGGCATATTAAAATTAAATTAAAATTAATAAAAATATTAAAATAAGTGTGAGGGTCCCTGTGGCTGTCTGGCAGGCCCAGTAGCAGGAGATCCATGCCCTTCTCAAGGAGCTGCCTGCCTGGCCAGCCGCTGCCCAGATGGAGATGCTCACCCACTGTGTTTGTGCCCGAGGCTGCCGTCACAATGCCCCCATTCTGCTGGACGGTAGGCAGGGCTGGAGGGGGCCCTCGCCCTCCCTGTGGGCCCCAACACAACACTGCTCCTTCCTTCCACAGCTGCTGAACAGAGCGAGGGAGACAAGGGTGCAACAGAGGGAGAGAAGAGAGAGCAGGGCTAATATGGCTCTCTGCCACCTCCACTCCCATGTTACATAGAGACCACACAGTGCCAGGGTTGTTTTAATGACATGGAATAATATGAAGCTGAACGGCTACCAGGCCGGTATCTGTGAAATCTGCACACTGACTGCAGCGTGTGAAAATAATTATAGTGCATTGTAGTACACTTGTGGTGGTGCTACTAAAACATGTTCTGATTGGATAACTTAAATTGATCCTAGCATGATCCAACACATACAGGTGGTGCAGCACGATGCCAGGGGACAGACTGCATCTCAACAAACACCATCTAGGCCTAGGCTACTTCTCTCGCCGTCTTACTGCTAGTGCTAGATATTCAAGAATGTTGCTTGAATGCATGCCCCTGAAGTGCCTTGTTGAATGAGACAGCAGGAGGTGTGGGGCAAAAATGTTTCCTTCTCAGCCCCAAACAACCCACACAGGCACCGCTCAGACACACGCAACAACTAACCAACTCCGTTATCTCAAAACTACATTGCTGCTCTAAAAACAACTTTGCCAAGCCAGCTTAACTGACTGTGATGATCAGAGGTAAACGGGAATGAAAACAGGAACATCTAGGTACGCTAGTCTAGTGCCAACCAGATCATCTTAATACCATTTTCAATTGAGGACTACACACATCTACAAAAGAAATAGAACATGCATTCCAGAGAAAAGAAAGAATACATTTGAGAGGAGGAAAATAAAAAAAAAAGAATAGAAAGTGGCAATTGTTTAAATGTCAGGGTCTTTGGCCTGTTGGCCAGGCTTAAGATGTCTAATGAGAGACAGTGTGCAGCAGACAGAGAGCAGCAGCAGCCATTACCTCCCTTCCTGCTGAGTGTGTAAGCTGAGCTCTGAGATACTAAATACTTCATAGAGAGACAAGGGAGAGCAGAAATTAGCTCCAGCTGACACCTCTAGTCTTCTTCAGCCTGCCCTGCTCAGTGGCTAATGCAATCTACCATCAGTCAATCAATCAGTCGATCAATACTGCAGAGTGAGCTATTGACAAAGAGCAGAGGAAGGGGTATTGGTGGTTTGGTGTGGTCGATGTATTCCGTACCTGCATTGGTCTGCCTCAGTAGATGGGGTATGAAAAAAAAGAAATGCTGTCGCTGTCTCACTATCAAACCAAGGTGCATGAATAGTGGAGCAAAGTGAAAGATAGACAAGTTGGTTGTTTAGGAACAAACAGAGGCGTGGTCAACTACGGGGCAAAACAGACAGGGTTGGCTTAGATTGTTGACATGTATATTTCGTGTCCAATGTTTATTGAAAAAAAGTAATACATTTACACAATGAGCACTTGTGGTCTCAAATATACAGTGGGGGGGGGAAAGTATTTAGTCAGCCACCAATTGTGCAAGTTCCCCCACTTAAAAAGATGAGAGAGGCCTGTAATTTTCATCATAGGTACACGTTAACTATGACAGACAAAATGAGAATAAAAAAAAATCCAGAAAATCACATTGTAGGATTTTTTATGAATTTATTTGCAAATTATGGTGGAAAATAAGTATTTGGTCAATAACAAAAGTTTCTCAATACTTTGTTATATACCCTTTGTTGGCAATGACACAGGTCAAACGTTTTCTGTAAGTCTTCACAAACTGTTGCTGGTATTTTGGCCCATTCCTCCATGCAGATCTCCTCTAGAGCAGTGATGTTTTGGGGCTGTCGCTGGGCAACACGGACTTTCAACTCCCTCCAAAGATTTTCTATGGGGTTGAGATCTGGAGACTGGCTAGGCCACTCCAGGACCTTGAAATGCTTCTTACGAAGCCACTCCTTCGTTGCCCGGGCGGTGTGTTTGGGATCATTGTCATGCTGAAAGACCCAGCCACGTTTCATCTTCAATGCCCTTGCTGATGGAAAGAGGTTTTCACTCAAAATCTCACGATACATGGCCCCATTCATTCTTTCCTTTACACGGATCAGTCGTCCGTGCAGAAAAACAGCCCCAAAGCATGATGTTTCCACCCCCATGCTTCACAGTATGTATGGTGTTCTTTGGATGCAACTCAGCATTCTTTGTCCTCCAAACAGTTTTTACCAAAAAGTTCTATTTTGGTTTCATCTGACCATATGACATTCTCCCAATCCTCTTCTGGGTCATCCAAATGCACTCTAGCAAACTTCAGACGGGCCTGGACATGTACTGGCTTAAGCAGGGGGACACGTCTGGCACTGCAGGATGAGAGTCCCTGGCGGCGTAGTGTGTTACTGATGGTAGGCTTTGTTACTTTGGTCCCAGCTCTCTGCAGGTCATTCACTAGGTCCCCCCGTGTGGTTCTGGGATTTTTGCTCACCGTTCTTGTGATCATTTTGACCCCACGGGGTGAGATCTTACGTGGAGCCCCAGATCGAGGGAGATTATCAGTGGTCTTGTGTGTCTTCCATTTCCTAACAATTGCTCCCACAGTTGATTTCTTCAAACCAAGCTGCTTACCTATTGCAGATTCAGTCTTCCCAGCCTGGTGCAGGTCTACAATTTTGTTTCTGGTGTCCCTTCAAATATATTGTTACAGTTGTTGGTTCACTAGCAAGCGAATTTCAGCCATATTAGCACTGACATGAAATCAGGCAAAACACCTCAAAACAATACATGGTATCAATAACATGATGAAACGAGCCACTTACAATTCCCCAAATGGCAGTTTCTTGTCAATTCTTGCTAGCAATCTGGCCATCCAGAATCACAACAACACACTGACTTCTGCCCCATGGAAGCACGCACATCATTTTCGTGAGGTTGTCAGCTAACCCGTCTATTCAGCAACTCTGGGTAGCACAATGGAAGTTCACTTGAAAAAATAGTTTATTTTTAAATAGTGCCTTTCGACAACTGCTTTTATCAGGGTATCAGCTTGCCTTTACAGATAGAGATGAGACCAGCCATGTCTTCACTCACTGCATCCCAATTCTACAGCCTACCCTTATGCCACAAGTGTGCACTTGTTCACTTACTTTGAGGAGAGTGCACAAGAGCACACTTTGGGATAATTGGGACACGGCCCACTCACTCAGCCTCCATTCACCGGGTGGACACCCCAACATGGCAGTAGAAGGCCCATATCCCGAACATGTTGCAGTCTGGTTTACAAATACCTCAGGGGATAATGGATGCCAGGATCATCTCCTCCCACTATCTTGATAACAGATTTTTCTCATGGAAAACCCAAAGCTACAGTATCATACTACATTACACTTTGCATTTAATACCCAGATAGTGAAGATGGGGCATTTGTTGGGCAGAGAAGTGATTTTGTTCATTCCTCCTCAGTGATGTCCAAAATGTTCATGTGACATGCTACTGTCAGTGACACCCCCCCCCCAAAGAAAATGTTAAAAATATATATTATGGTGGTCTCTCACATTCACAATATTATACTTTCAATGCATGTAAGCCTATAGCCTAACTAATACCACAAGAAGAGACAACCAAAACAACCAAATGCTAAATGCTCTAGCTTATGATTATCGCTACGGCTCATAATGACAAAGGTTGTAGCTAAGTGTGGCAACAGTGAGGTGAGGCTAAATTGTTTCAGACAGGCATGCCACAGTACGCGATAACATGGGGTTACATTGCAACATTTGTAACGATAGGGACAACAATGTTCTAAAACATGTTGACAGAGGTTTGATTACCACAAACCAATCCACAATAAACGAATCACAAATTGACAGATATTAGCTTGGAACACAGAACAATATTGACCCACAACACAGTGCAACTCGATTGAGCTGTGCACTAGGATAGGCGATTAACAATACAATCCAGGGATGCAGTAGCACATTTTGCCTTGCGGACAGTAACATTCCCACTTCCTGCCTTCCTTGACGTTATTACTGAGCTGTCAGCGGACACAACAACACAGAAAACTCAGACAAACTACCCGTCAAATAACCCGTTGTTCCATCAATTGGCTGACCCTCCTCGTCGCGGCATCAGTCAGCCAATGTGACTGAACGAAGGAACGCGGAGGTCGCTAGTGTAGCTAGTTAGCTAATAGCATCGGTTAACTAGGTGGAGCCGTTTGTTGAGCCATTCAAAACAACTTGGAATTACATTTAGCTAATAGATGTAGCTATAACGGTGGTAAGAAAATCATTACAAAAATACATTTTCTTTCAAATTATTCGGTTCCTGTGCTGAGATGGTGTTGCAGCACAGCGCCAGAGACACTGCTTGAGTGTGCAACAACTCACCGTAAAATAACGCTTTATGTTGGTTGACCAGATGTCTTTACAACTTTACGTGGCAGACGATGAAGATGATGTCTGTTATTGCGAGCATTCAGTTTGTCTGCCGTAAAAAGAAGATATCCCAATTTGAGGTTTGGCCGCTCGCTCTATGCGGAGTTCGCACAGGCCTAGTAAAGGAAATGGATGGTCTCCCCCTCCTTCCAACTAGCAGCAGTACGCATGCGCTAATTTATTTGCAGCAACACACAAGGACATTTCAGCTGACTGAAGAAGTGTGAGCTCTGAGCACGACCTTGTGGTCAAACCAGTGATGTGGAAGCAAAAATAATATCTCCCTAACAAAATGCGGCCAAGTTGCAGTTTGCAGGAAAAAGATGTCGAGAGAGAAGAATACCTAATGCTATGGTCCTTCGCTACTGATATGCCATTAATTTACCATTTGAATGAAATGCCTGATCTTGCTAAATGTTCTCCTAGGCAGTATCAATTCTGATGACTTTCGCCACCTATTACATGCATTCATCTCAAAGCTGCCAGGACTAAGCATAATTAAAAATGGCTGGGTTTCCCATTAGAAATGAAAAAAAAGCTAAACAGAGGGAAACTTTTGACATTGCCCAATCACCCCAGCACATTATTATATTATTATATTACATAGGCTACCTTGTAGCTTCAGCAGGTTGTGGCTACTTAGAACCATCTGGTGGACAACCTGTGAAAATGCATCCTCAGTACCCCACCATACAAATAATATGTGAACACAAACATGCGGAGTAGCCACACGTCCAGTTAATAAACAAAAACACTGTACATTTGCTGCAGCTTCATAAAAAGTGTGGCTTGGAGAACTTTAACAATTACTATACACACTCCCACACATGATCTTGTAACAAACGTCCCCCCCCAAAACAAAATTGTAGCTGTGGTCTGTGGGATAGCTATAACTCAAATAAAATAAATGAAGTGTGCTCTCAAGATTCAATTCCTACAGAAGTAGTGCATGTGGCACATTTTGCCCCCCCTGTATTTTCTATATCAAAATGGATGAAGTGGTCTTTATTACAACAAACCGGTCAACAGCAATTGAAATGGAAGTGTATGTTGAAAAATTGAGGCCTTTTAAAAAATTGAATATTTTCTATGCAGTTTCACATTTAATGTTTACCAGTCATGAATTCTCAAGCTTGATCTCAGTATACAGAACAGTGTCAACTTGGACCATACCTGTATACACAGTTACAAATACTTGTGGTGTCACATGCTACATCTGCCTTGCTGAAATTCCTTTATGATAAAGGATAACGTTTATTATTCCAGGTTACACACCAATTCCTCAAAAAATTAACTAAAGTAAACAAGAGAAGAAAAAAAAAACCATGATGAAATCTGTAAGGATATGATCAAACAAAAATGGTTTAGTTCCTCCATCATAACATCATATGAGATTAGCCACTATCCCATTGCTAGCTACCACGAGGACACTTCCCAAAAACAATTACTGTGAGTCCTTAAGAAAATGACTAATTGTCTGTGCAAAAACATGGCCTGTTTTCTGGCAAATCTTTTGTAACAATATGACCATAAATCACTTAAAAATAAATTCACATCTGTCTGGGCTGGAGTGTCACAATACAATACAATAATTCCCTGGGAAAAATTTCTGAAAGTAGCACTTTTAGGTGACAAAAAAAAAGCATCTCCTGTAAGATTTCGCACCTCAGCATCCATAACTCTCTGGCATCGCATGCAGGAACAGGCCATCTGATGGCATTCCTCTCAAAGCTGACAACAGCAGCAGCCTCAAGGAGCCCAACAACTAGGCTCAAATACGTGTCTTGGATGCTTTATAATGATACATTGTGTTGTTCTATTCTCACATCATAACATGTTATGTAGATACTGCAGGTGCCAACTACAGACACTGCAAGTGAGATGGCATACATTTACAAAAATAGGCTACATACACTTGTAATAAGTGAGAAAGCTCATTGCGACACATTGTTGAGAAACACAGCATTATTGAGCAACATTACCAGAGATAAACAAAAACAAATGAAAACTCAAAGAGTCCTACCAGCTAGAACACAACTGGCGACAGATGCCATTGATTCACTGTATTACATGACCTTGAAATGGAGCAACATGCGCTGTATGCACTTAATGCACTATTAACAATAGTCTGATTTGGTCGTTTGGAAATGTAGAGCAGAGCTGATACACAGACAAGATAGTATTTCCAAGTCATATGAATGTTTGCAAAGTTGTAACCCGATCAATTCAGATAAATCCTCATAGACTACCCATGAAGATGTGCAAACACACCAATAATTGGATTTAGAATAAAAAAAAGAGTAAAATACAGTTTTCAACACAGCAGTCAGCCTCAATGACTGCCCAGTGACTGAAAACTGCCCTGGGAGAAACATAGCCAAACCTAAATCTAACCCATTCACAAAAACTCCCCAAAACAGGATGTCTGCACTCTGCAGCAGAGCAAAACTCAACCATTCTAAGATGCACCGAGTGTTTTAAAAAATTGCTCATCGTTTGCAAACATAATTCAGACATCCTGGCCAGTACGTGACCAAATAGGCCTGCAATCACAGATCTGTTTACACAACCACCGAACGTCTCACACAAATCCAATTCTGGCTCAAGTGCATTTAAAGATCCGCTTTCAAAATGATTGGAAGTAAAAAAAATAAGTATTATCTACTGTGGCCACTCTGTTTAGCTGCACATCTAAGGCTTGTGTTTGGAATTGAATTGACATATTGCTTATACAAATGAAATACAAACCCAATCCTATCATAAAGTGAATTAAATGGTAGAATGGCTACTACTAGAAAAACTAACTTGACCTTTATGTTTCTTGACAAATGCTGTAATACTAAGTGTAAACTAAATGGTACTGTCTGGCAAATTACACTTTACCAAAACCTGAAGCAAGAACACAGCCACGGCAACAGAGGATGTGTACCTCGCTACCATGTATAGCTACTTAACAGATTAATATGCATACCCTTGTAAACTATTATATGCCTGTATGTGGCCTTATCTGACAGGTGTCAAACAAAGATATTATTTCATATGAGAAGTGCAAAAGACAGAAACTATTTGTTTCTATGGTAACACCAATACACTGAAACAAAAGTGTTGAGCACCACTTTACAGCTTTCTTTGCAGCGTTGTTAAAAATATAGCCCAGATGCAGTTTAGAAAATATATGCATTCAAACAAAGGCAAAACATCTTCCCTATTTATCAAAAACAAACAAATTCTTAAACATTTTCTTCTGAGATAATTGAGAAAAGAGGACAAACAAATTGGTTTTTGCCTAGTTGATACCAGTGCTAGCTAAATTACAAATTTCAATTGAAAATCGCTACAATCGATGCTGACCAAAAAGTCACATTTAAGAGAAACACACCAATTTAATTTAGTGAGAGTCAGGGCATTTCAACCAAAATCTCAAATTCAGATCATAGGGATTTTCCCAGAGAGATTGAGCTCTGCTGTGGGGCACTGGGTCAGCCAGGTCCCGTTGTCTCCAGTCCACACACAATCTACGGTAGGAAACAGGATGTGTGTCTCAGGCCCAGGGCTGGTCACACGGTCAGGGTCAGGGGTCATAGACAGAGACTGACTCATAGCGGTCAGTCAGCTCTCTGTAAACATAACATACTCAGACTGGCTGATAGAGGTGGGCAATACATACACATAGCCCTTATCACAAAGCCCAACAAGACAGGAAGCCCTCCTCTTAGAGCTTTCCCCTTCTCCAGTGGTACTTCACGGCACGCGATACACTCCCAGGGGTCAACCAGGAGCAAAGGGAAAACAAATACCAACCAGCAACACAATTAAGTGCACATTCTGTTTTAAGAAATCCCCCCACAACTTATTTTCAGTAACTGTACACATCACCCTCTAAGAAGGCCTTGACACTGCACCTGGAAGTCTCTAACTATCAGGACTTGCAGGAATTGAGGCTGGTCCTATATCTGTGTGCATTGTCCTTCTGTATTTCACTAGAATGAAAACACAGGGTTGTAGGAGGTCCTGCTATGCAGAGTGTAAAGGAATAACGAATTTGCAGCCGAAGGGCGAATGGTAGTTGATGCCCACTTCCTGGAACACCTGCTTGGGTACCCCAATGTCACACAGGTAGACCCTAGCCTCCCCACCATCCAGAGGCAAGGGCAGGCCCAAAGACAGAGTCCACTTGGCCTCCACGGCCTGCTTCTGGCCACTCACTGGAGGGTCAATGCTGAGCACCGGAGCCCTGTTCTGGTTGGCCCAGTCTGCAGCCGCCAGGTACCAGGCCTGGTCCCTCAGGAAGCCGTTCTCATGGCAGTCCAGACAGTTGATGACCAGGTCCACTGGGCTGACCGGCAGGTCTAGGAGGAGGAGGAGAGAGCGGGACAGAGATCAGGGTTTGAACTTAAAGCTTCCGAGTAGCTACACCTCCAGCAGAGGGCAACATTGTTTCAGTGTACCACTGTTAAAAGCAGACAAGAAGCACTGATTTTACAGTGTCTAGCTGATTGTGCCTTATGTGTCTAACTATACTGAACGGAAATATTAACGCAACATGTAAAGTGTTGGGCCCATGTTTCATGAGCTGAAATAAAAGATCACAGAAATGTTCCATACACACAAAAAGCTTGTTTATCTCAAATGTTGGGCACAAATTTGTTTTCATCCCTGTTAGTGAGCATTTATCCTTTGCCAAGATAATCCATCCACCTGACAGGTGTGGCATATCAAGAAGCTTATTAAACAGTATGATCATTACACAGGTGCACCTTGTGCTGGGGACAATAAAAGGCCACTCTAAAATGTGCAGTTGTGTCACACAACACAATACCACAGATGTCAAGTTGAGGGAACGTGCAATTGGCATGGTGACTGCAGGAATGTCCACGAGAGCTGTTGCCAGATAATTTAATGTACATTTCTCTACCATAAACCGCCTCAAACGTCGTTTTAGATAATTTGGCAGTACGTTCAACTGGCCTCACTACCACAGACCACGTGTATGGCGTTGTGTGGGCGAGCGGTTTGCTGATGTCAACGTTGTGAACAGAATGCCCCATGGTGGCGGTCGGGTTATGGTATGGGCAGGCATAAGCTACAGACAACGCACACAATTGCATTTTATCGATGGCAACTGGAATGTACACAGTTACCGTGACGAGATCCTGAGGCCCATGTTCGTGCCATTCATCCACCGCCATCACCTCTTGTTTCAGCATGATAATGCACAGACCCATGTCGCAAGGATCTGTACACAATTCCTGGAAGCTGAAAATGTCCCAGTTCTTCCATGGCCTACATACTCAGACAGGTCACCCATTTAGCATGTTTTGGATGCTCTGGACCAGTCATGTGAAATCCATAGATTAGGGCCTAATGAACTGTAACTCAGTAAAATCTTTGAAATTGTTGCTTGTTGTGAATATAACAGAGGGAAGTGTCTACTCTAGATTAGAAAACAATGGATTTTTTATACAGCTCATGCTAACAAAAGAACACACTACAAGGAAGTGGATTCACTATCTTCACTACCTACAGTCCATTTACCTTTCTATCTACAGTCTCATCACATCTAATGATTTCAAAAGCAGATAATATTTGTGAACAGAGGACAAATCTATGTTAGTCAGCATGAGTCGGTACCTTTGATGCTGGCCACCTGCTTGCCGCTGGTCTTGCTGTAGAGGGCGAGCTCGTTGGTTATGGACTCCTGCATCTTGACCAAGTTGGGGAGGAAGAGGATGACCTCCACCTCGTGGTTGGCCAGGTGCCGTCCACAGCTGATGCCCTGGGCCCCCTGGACATGGGGGCCGCACAGCAGGGCTACCGTGGGACGTTGGTGATTATTCTTAGGGGTCAGCCTGGGGACATCCAAGAGACATTTGTGATTTTTTTGTTGTCTTATTTTGATTTCTTATCATTGTACTTAAAAATTTATTTTTATTTTAGTCATTTAGCAGACACTTTTATCCAGGAGCAATTAGGGATAAGTGCCTTGCTCAAAGGCACATCGACAGATATCACCTAATCAGCTCTGGGATTCGAACCAGCAACCATTCGGTTACTGGCCTAACCTCTTAACCGCTAGGCTATCAGTACAAAGAGTACATGCCAAGGCCTGTGATATTTGATTACCGGTAGATTAGACAAACTTTAATGTCCTCATTGAGATAATGAATTGTGCAGAATACAATCATGACTGATCTGAAAATCTTTATCTGCAGATTCCACAAAGTGCAGACAAAGGAGCATTATTATCACCTCAGGACTGCATGGGTAATAAACTGGTTGTTGTGCAAGTTAAAGTTAGGAACTAAGGGTTTCCCTTTCTTATAAAAAACACTACTCTTCAACTACAGCATAAACACCAGAGGAAGACTTTATCTGCAGTCATTGTAATCAAGGTCAGTGGAGCATTGTGTCCTGTCGATCATAAACACCTCATGCTTTCAATATGCTGCTACACCTTTCCATTCAAAGTATTGGCTTTCTGTCATGATTAACTGCTAAAGCCACCGTCTATTCATCATAAATATGGCGTTTGCACTGACTCCTTCACACGCACAAAGAGAAAAGCCTGAAGCAGAGGGGAAATGGGAGATTCACAGCCTGTCAGACATTCCCTGACTTAACAGGGAGAATCAGTACAATTATTTAATATACACTAGATGACGTACAGGGGGCGTTGTTTTGAAGCCACCACGCCTCCATTTTGGTACTCCCTCCACGTTGTAAAAAAAATTGTTTTTGGGAAGCTACACAAAATAATGCATTAATTAATGTCTACATTTGTTTTTGCAATGTTTATTCTATTACAGACACCTTAATGCATATTTTGTAATTATATTTTGTGAGCAAAAAAATAATTAAAAAACCCCCCCCCCCAAAAAACATTTATTTAAAGTATAATTTTTAGAAAGTACTAATGTTAATGTACCCACTACAACAACAAAAAAATTGTTAAAGCTTCACTGCGTAACTATGTGTGTACAGACGTTTTTGGAGACCCCTCTGGCAAGAATGCGGTATTTTGTTCTAGATTTGAACACGATTTCCCATAAACCCCATCTCTCATTGGTAGTCGCCGATGGGATGACTTAGCATCAACAGCCGCTATGGCTGTGTTATCTAGTGCAGGGTTTCCCAAACTTTGTCCTGGGACCCCTGGGGGCTTTTTATATGCCGGCTATAATCCTCGTTTTTTATATTCTAATAAAAAATATTCACGTTGTTGTCAGCCAGAAAGGTAGCTAACGCTAGCAATGTCAAGGTAGCTAGCTAGCAAACTTAGCTACATGGTTGAGAATAGCTACCGTGAATTTCCCTGCCTGATACAATATTAGATAGCTTGATAGCTATCGTCAGATTGCTAACTTAGTACATTAGTCCCCTGAAGCTCAGTTGGTAGAGCATGGCGCTTGCAACGACAGGGTTGTCGGTTCGTTTCCCACGGGGGGCCAGTATGAAAATGTATGCACTCACTAACTGTAAGTCGCTCTGGATAAGAGCGTCTGCTAAATGACTAAAATGTAAAATGTAAATTAGCTATTTGACTTCATAGATCTGCATTCATGTAAAATAACTTTGGCATGCATTCAGTCATTTGCCCTTCTGACTCCTATACTAGCTAGCTAATAATATTACTGGGATGGCCCCTTGATTCTCGAGAGCTATGGCTACATATGAAGACGTTGTGCAGTGATTGTAGAAGTGTGATACTCGACCCTTCTGCATGAAAATCAATATTGGTTATACATAAAAAGACCATGTAGTGAACATTACAATACAATCATAATAACAGTGTTGCATACATCTTATTTCCTGTAGGATTCCAGTTATGAAGAGCCGTGGGCCATAAGGGGCACAGGCAGGGCTGCAGAAAGAATTGGACAGGAAGAACTTGAAAAGATCTGCCCAACTGCAAGAAGAGAGGCTGGCCGAGATGAAGGTTAGTAAAAATCTTTCACCTGTGGTACTGTATACATGTTTCACAACATTCAAATCTTATCACACAACATTTGTCTGCATGCTGTAATTAAGTTAATCTAACTGGAGTGATTTTTGGCATCATGGAGTACCGGAGAGCTATCCCAGGATCTCCAGACATCCCACATCGCGGACAGCCTTGCTGGTGCACCTGCCTAAATTGTAGGGAGACTCCTACAGCATACAACACAACCACTGCCATTTCACCACTGCACTATTTCAGTTATTTATTACCAAGTATGTTTACGGAACACTTTCCACGACTACACTGTACTCTATTCTTCATGTGGATCCTCCATTTGGTGAGATCTTTGTAAGTAATCTTTTTGTGATTTTGTCCTTAGTCTGGGTGACATCACTTCAGTACTTTACCAGTTCAGTACTTTATCAGAATGTTTTCCTTTCACTGTGCTTTTGTTATTTCAGGAAGTTGAAAGATAATACCGTATATGCTTGTTAATCTCCCTAGTAAAACTTTATTTGACCTGATGTGTAATCGGACCGACTTGTTTTGTACTGTATTTACACCAGCGTGGTACATCCGTCTTTCTGGATATCTACCCACCTGTAGGTCTGCTAATTTGAAGTGAAAACTGCCAAGAGCATAGATATCCAGGAAAAGAGAACAGTTTAGTAAATCATTCTAAAACCATTCCATAATGATGCCAATTTGCTAGATAAAGAATGCACAAATATTGTTTCTCACACAAGTTTATTGTTGCCCACACAAACATCCCTTATTTATATGATTTATATATGTTTGGTTGTAGGCCCAACTCTTTCAACAACATTTCTGAGTACTCCACAGGTTCACACACTTCCTGGGAACGACCAAGTCTGACAAAACGGAGAGCTCAGGTCCTTCCCCGCTCAAAGGTGTGCTAACTGCATCCTGTGTTGCGTGTCGACATCTCCTCGAACTTGTAGCAGGTCAGCAGTTGTTGGTGGTGGGACTTCAGGGAGTCTTGGGTCATCTGATCTCAGGATCATTCTCCTTGTTAGCCCCAATTGAGAGCCTTTTCAACACTGCTCTCTGAAGTTCTGGGATGTAGGTGTAGTCCTGTGCAGTTTTCAATGCGTAGACACCATCTCCTTTAGCTGAAAGATAGAATAATATTTGGTGAGTATTTTGTCTATAGAATTTCATTACCATCAGTGTAGTGTTGACATCTGTTGAAAATATTAGTCTGGTTTTGATCAGTTTTACCAAATTTTTACCAGCATGTCACCTGTGCAACTAGAGGCGACAAAACTCTAGATCACCTTTACTCCACATACAGAAACACATACAATGCCCTCCCTTTGGCAAATCAGACCATAACTCTATCTCCCTGCTTCCTGCTTGAAAGCAAAAACTCAAAACAGGAAGTACCAGTGACGCGCTCAAAACGGAAGTGGTCCGATGAAGCGAATGTTAAGCTACAGGACTGTTTCGCTAGCACAGACTGGAATATGTTCCGGGATTCATCCGATAACATTGAGCAGTTAAACCACATCAGTCACTGGCTTCATTAATAAGTGCATCGACGATGTCTTCCCAACAGTGACCGTACGTACCCCAACCAGAAGCCATGGATTACAGGCAACATTTGCACTGAGCTAAAAGGCTAGAGTTGCTGCTTTCAAGATTAGGACTAATCCGGACACTTATAAGAAATTCCGCAAAGACCTCCGGCAAGCCATCAAACAGGCAAAACGTCAATACAGGACTAAGATTGGAAAACTACTACGCCAGCTCTGACGCTCTACGGAAGTGGCAGGGCTTGCAAACTATCATGGATTACAAAGGGAAACCCAGCCGCAAACTGCCCAGCGACATGAGCCTACCAGAAGAGCTAAATGCCTTCTATGCTCGCTTCAAGGCAAGCAACACTGAACCATGTATGAGAGCACCAGCTGTTCCTGACTACTGTATGATCTCGCTCTCCGTAGCTGATGCGAGTAAGACCTTTAAAATCCCCTTGAGTCGATTGACGCACCTGGTGAGATATGTTTTTTTGCATTGGATGCGTCTCAATCCACCGCATCCGCCTATGTCGCACTTCCACATCTGCGGTGAAAGGTATCAGAACTAGAGCTGTGTTTATCAAACCATAAAACATCCCAAAAATTGGTCTTCTCACGGAAACGTCTGTAGCATCCGAACGGTTTGACCTACAAACTAGTATGACCACTCTATGGAAAGGGGAGATTCTAACGATGGTGGTCTCCATTTTACTCTACGACCCCCACGGGACTCGTCTCAAGGTAACCGGTCCCGGTTTGTAAAAAAATTAATGGAAATATGAAGGTAGTTCTGTGCCTACCCATAAAAATGGGACCATTATTTCCCCTTGCTTTCCTAAAGGTCTACAATTAATATAGGAAATATTTCAAAACATTGTCATTGTGTTGAGGACGCTGTTGACCTTTATGAATGTTAATTCGCAAGCGTCGGGGCCAAGAATAAGGCAAATTCATATAGTCAATTTTTATATTTATACCTATCCTAAATTCAATCCAATAGTATGATTTTAAAACAATTGCATATGTCATCTTAGAACCCCCACCGGCTTAGACTTTTAAGAATTAAACTGCTTAACATTCGCAAGGCCGCGGGGCCAGATGGAATACCAGGATGCGTAATTAGAGCATGCACTGACCAGCTGGCAAGTGTCTTCACTGACATTTTCAACCTATCCCTGACCCAGTCTGTAATACCAATTTCTTTCAAGCAGACCACTATAGTCCCCATGCACAAGAACGTCAAAGTAACCTGCCTAAATTACTTTTGCCCTGTAGCACTCACAGCTCGTCTGGCAGGCTCATGTCACTGCGCAGCTCACAGCTGGGTTTCCCTTTGTAATCCGTGATAGTTTGCAAGCCCTGCTACATCCGACGAGCATCAGAGCCGGTGTAGTAGGATTCGATCTTAGTCTTGTATTGACAATTTGCCTGTTTGATGATTTGCCAGAGGGCGTAGCGGGATTTCCTATAAACTTCCGGGTTAGTGTACCGCTCCTTGAAAGCGGCAGCTCTAGCCTTTAGCTCAGTGCGGATGTTGCCTGTAATCCATGGCTTCTGGTTGGGATATGTACAGTACGTATGGTCACTGTGGGGATGACGTCATCAATGGACTTAATGAAGCCGGTGACTGATGTTGTAAAACTCCTCAATGCCATCGGATGAGTCCCGGAACATATTCCAGTCTGTGCTAGTGAAACAGTCCTGTAGCTTAGCATCCGCTTCATCGGACCACTTTTGTATTGAGCGCGTCACTGGTACTTCCTGTTTGAGTTTTTGCTTGTACGCAGGAATCAGGAGGATAGAGTTACGGTCAGATTTGCCAAATGGAGGGTGAGAGAGAGCTTTGTATGGGTCTCTGTGTGTGGAGTAAAGGAGATCTAGTGTTTTCCACCTCTAGTTGCACAGGTGACATGCTGGTAGAAATGAGGTAAGGACCATGATTAGTTGATTATTGGAGTAAGGTGTGTCAGCTGGGGCAAAAGTTTGTCACCAATCAAGCCACAGAGGACTGGAGTTGACCATCCCTGACCTAGATAGACAACAAATAAAACATTGCCCATCAATCCCAATATGGAATACAATTTTACAACTATGGCAGAATAGCTTTGATGACCATCAGTCATATATTTCCAGGGTAAATACATTCATTGGAGAAGGAGGCTATTAGACAGAATGAGGAATTCATGTTTCCAGTAATTTAATATAATGTAATGTTACAGTCTTATACACCCAATCCATCTGTATCTTTTGGCCTATGTCTGTTTCCATCTCATCCAGACATCTCAAATGGGGAATAACATAGTAACATCTCTGTGCAGTAGGATAATGTTGGGATAGAATGTCATCAATACTCAAAGTAAATCCTGGGTAGTTCATTTTCCTAAACAGATTAGCTAGATAGATTCCTAGCATTAAAATATGCTACTTTGTTATTAGGTAAAACATTATTGTTCTTGGCCAGCTAGGGGAAACACAATGATGGAACATACAACATGGTCAAAAACACTTTGCTAAAGTCTGTGCTTACCGATCTGATTCTGCTCCAATACTCAACAATGGTGGAGCTGGAAACAGGCTTGCTAGGTGTTGTCGATTTATTCCTTTCATGACATAAAAATAATATATCAACTTCAAATATATTTTTGAGAGCTTTGACGTCAAGCCATGAAGCCCAGTTCAGATACAACAGCCGACATGAGGCAAAACTAGCTAGTTTTAGAATGTTGTGTTGTACAACAGCTGACTAAAGACGGGGCATTCAGATCAAAAAGAAGAGACGTGCAGTTGACACCGTTTCCTCTGTAACTCTTTACAATGACGTGATGAAACTTTGAAACAAAGCTGCCACTTGTTGTGGCAAGGTGTTGTAGCAAACAAGTGTTATGACATACAGTGGGGGAAAAAAGTATTTAGTCAGCCACCAATTGTGCAAGTTCTCCCACTTAAAAAGATGAGAGAGGCCTGTAATTTTCATCATAGGTACACGTCAACTATGACAGACAAATTGAGAAAAAAAAATCCAGAAAATCACATTGTAGGATTTTTAATGAATTTATTTGCAAATTATGGTGGAAAATAAGTATTTGGTCACCTACAAACAAGCAAGATTTCTGTCTCTCACAGACCTGTAACTTATTCTTTAAGAGGCTCCTCTGTCCTCCACTCGTTACCTGTATTAATGGCACCTGTTTGAACTTGTTATCAGTATAAAAGACACCTGTCCACAACCTCAAACAGTCACACTCCAAACTCCACTATGGCCAAGACCAAAGAGCTGTCAAAGGACACCAGAAACAAAATTGTAGACCTGCACGAGGCTGGGAAGACTGAATCTGCAATAGGTAAGCAGCTTGGTTTGAAGAAATCAACTGTGGGAGCAATTATTAGGAAATGGAAGACATACAAGACCACTGATAATCTCCCTCGATCTGGGGCTCCACGCAAGATCTCACCCCGTGGGGTCAAAATGATCACAAGAACGGTGAGCAAAAATCCCAGAACCACACGGGGGGACCTAGTGAATGACCTGCAGAGAGCTGGGACCAAAGTAACAAAGCCTACCATCAGTAACACACTACGCCGCCAGGGACTCAAATCCTGCAGTGCCAGACGTGTCCCCCTGCTTAAGCCAGTACATGTCCAGGCCCGTCTGAAGTTTGCAAGAGTGCATTTGGATGATCCAGAAGAGGATTGGGAGAATGTCATATGGTCAGATGAAACCAAAATATAACTTTTTGGTAAAAACTCAGCTCGTCGTGTTTGGAGGACAAAGAATGCTGAGTTGCATCCAAAGAACACCATAACTACTGTGAAGCATGGGGGTGGAAACATCATGCTTTGGGGCTGTTTTTCTGCAAAGGGACCAGGACGACTGATCTGTGTAAAGGAAAGAATGAATGGGGCCATGTATCATGAGATTTTGAGTGAAAACCTCCTTCCATCAGCAAGGGCATTGAAGATGAAACGTGGCTGGGTCTTTCAGCATGACAATGATCCCAAACACACCGCCCGGGCAATGAAGGAGTGGCTTCGTAAGAAGCATTTCAAGGTCCTGGAGTGGCCTAGCCAGTCTCCAGATCTCAACCCCATAGAAAGTCTTTGGAGGGAGTTGAAAGTCCGTGTTGCCCAGCGACAGCCCCAAAACATCACTGCTCTAGATGAGATCTGCATGGAGGAATGGGCCAAAATACCAGCAACAGTGTGTGAAAACCTTGTGAAGACTTACAGAAAACGTTTGACCTGTGTCATTGCCAACAAAGGGTATATAACAAAGTATTGAGAAACTTTTGTTATTGACCAAATACTTATTTTCCACCATCATTTGCAAATAAATTCATTAAAAATCCTACAATGTGATTTTCTGGAATTTATTTTCTCATTTTGTCTGTCATAGTTGACGTGTACCTATGATGAAAATGACAGGCCTCTCTCATCTTTTTAAGTGGGAGAACTTGCACAATTGGTGGCTGACTAAATACTTTTTTTCCCCACTGTACATGCACCAGAAACAGGGTACACTTTGTGACTTGTCAGCAAGCTAGGCTAGCTATGTGCAGCAAAATAGCTATCTAGCTCTCTGCTTAGCTAGCTAGTTAGCTGAACACAGAACGTTAGCGCCATAGAATTAATCAAATCTCTATGGTTAGCGCACTGTTCTTTGATTGGCTAAATGGATATGTATTGTCGCAAGACTTACATGTTGAATCTTGGAATCCGTCTTGTCGCAGGGCCTACATGTTGAACCTTGGAAAACTAGACCCTTCAGATCAAACAAACCGTCGCATCTGGTCTCATCTTGTGTATCTGAAATGAGCTTTATGATCATGGCTATTCCGTGCCAGTAGAGTAGTGTGTGAAGTAGCTAGCTAGCCAATATCACAGCTTGACTTTCAGACCACAGAAATATAACACAAGGTCAAGTAACGTTATACACATAAGTTAGGTAGCTAGTTAGGACTAACTAGTGAAGCTAAATTGTATATTCAAATGAAATAAAGCAGCAATGACAAAGCCAGCTAACAAGCTACACAAGCTAATACGAACTATTGGATGTGTGGCTTGAAAACAATCAAAACAAGCAATCCAAAATATAACATTCGCATACATTTTTACAACTAAATTGCAAACCATAATTTAAATGTATATCATCTACCTAGCAAAGTCTTACCTTTCAGGAGAAAAAATGCAAACTGTGTCGGTTTTGAATCCTTTCAACTCTCTTAGTTCTCTCCACTGTGAACACAAATCCGAGGTTTACTCTAGTCTTGGCCCGGGCTCTATAGCTTTCCCTTTTCGCCTGTCTGCTCTCCAAAGTTCTGTTTCTTTGGCTTAGATGGAGGAGTAGCTGCTGCTGGGTCAGGTCGTTTACCCCTCACGTCTGCCATGTCTGTAAGCTAGCTATCTCTGCAAGCCAAGTGTGGACATGGGCTCAGCTAGCTAGCTAGCTATCATACGGGCTACCTGTTAGAATATCCCTGAGCTGTGGCACGGCCTCCTCACTGACGGAAACACGTAACTCATTATGCGCAGCACAACATTTGACCCGACAGGGAAAACGAAAACCAATGAATACAGGGGTTCTCAGGTAGGCTAGAGGTACAATACTGTTACTGTTGCATAACACTGGATAACCACTAGAGAATTATTAGAGCGTTTGAACAAATAAAATACAAAAATATACATATTGCAGCTTTAAACACATCAGATTTTGTCCTTGAAACATTTCCTACAAAAAATGTAGAATTCCATTCATTCCTAGGACTACTTCTTCTGAGGACTGACAATATGTCTGACCGGTGGGTTCAAAACCTCTCATTGGCTAATACATAGCATCAGCAATTTAGAGTTTATATACATCATTAATCAGTGCTTTACAGGGAGCGCTCTAAGGTTAATTGCCTGTTTAAAACACCTTACTACAGTATATCACCACAGCAACAATACAAGAAACAATGAAAAATTGACAAAAATAGGAGGACAAAGGCATGTTTGTATAACCCTGGGTCATGTTCATTAGGGCACACTGTAGCAAAACGCTTTGCAACTGAAAACAAAAACGAGCATTTCTTATTGGGGAAGTTCAGATATTGTAGTACCTCTCAGTTTCAAACCATTTTCTTTAGTTTCGTGCCTATTGAACACGACTCTGGTATCGATGAAGCCTGTTGCATGTGATGTGATGTCACCACCGTAGAGGGAACCCACCCAGACACTCACCGGTTGGGGCCACCCAGTAGAGTGAGGGCCATCTGGCTGGCACACACACCAGTCATCTCCAGCCTCCGCTCCAGAGACAGGCCATGCCGCTCCGCTGCAGCCAGAAGACACTTGTGAAGCTCGTAGGACACACTGGGGACAACCAGGCCCGAGTCTACAGTCAGAGGAGAGAGAGAGACAAGAGGGGAAAATAAAAATGTATTAGTTGTTATTGTGCCAGACTATAATATATGTAGCTATGATATGAGAGAGATTGCCATTAATGGATTGTATTTTTTTTATGTCAGAAGTTTTTTTAAAGTTCCAGAAAAATATGGAAATGGCACTAAAAATAGAACAGCATAGAATCCTCATCATCAGTGCAACTGGAAATTCCCAAAAGGAACTAGAAGGCATAATACACCAACAACATTAACTTTTACAATGAGGACAAACGCACTCTCTCACACACACACACACACACACACACACACACACTCAGGAACTCTTCAGGGAGTAAGAGTTTATGTATAAGCAGCACATCCCCTCACGCGAGGAGCCAGTTCCCTTGGGAAAGCCAGTTCCCTTGGGAAAGCCTCTTCCCTTGACTTGATCTCTTTCCCATCACGGAGGGAAGATTCCCTTCTTCCTCTCTCATTTGTCACTGTTGTCCACCGCAACAAAGAAGAGATTGGCAGCCCTTTACAAAACATGAGGATGAAAACTGTGAGCCGCCTCTCCTAGCTTTCCCCCATGGCCTTTTGGAGGGGCTGGGTTATCACGCTCCAGCTCATCTGTGCTGAGCTCCCTCAGCATCCCCAAAAGCAGAGCTTTGGGCTGGGCAAGACACCGGCAGCAGCACCCCCCCGGGCCCACACACACTACCACCACACCTCACAGAGCGCTCCACCTAAACATAGGGGTACCATGACAAAGGGGAAACTTCAAAACAGGAGCTTAAGGTGTACTGGTTGGTACACCTGTGTGAATGATGATGGCTAGCGTGTGAGGGAGTGTTGCAGCTTGACTTGTTGAGTGAATACTCAGGTCCAGGACCATACACATTATTTATACATATACAGTGGGGGAAAAAAGTATTTAGTAAGCCACCAATTGTGCAAGTTCTCCCACTTAAAAAGATGAGAGAAGCCTGTAATTTTCATCATAGGTACACGTCAACTATGACAGACAAATTGAGAGAAAAAAATCCAGAAAATCACATTGTAGGATTTTTTATGAATTTATTTGCAAATTATGGTGGAAAATAAGTATTTGGTCACCTACAAACAAGCAAGATTTCTGGCTCTCACAGACCTGTAACTTCTTCTTTAAGAGGCTCCTCTGTCCTCCACTCGTTACCTGTATTAATGGCACCTGTTTGAACTTGTTATCAGTATAAAAGACACCTGTCCACAACCTCAAACAGTCACACTCCAAACTCCACTATGGCCAAGACCAAAGAGCTGTCAAAGGACACCAGAAACAAAATTGTAGACCTGCACTAGGCTGGGAAGACTGAATCTGCAATAGGTAAGCAGCTTGGTTTGAAGAAATCAACTGTGGGAGCAATTATTAGGAAATGGAAGACATACAAGACCACTGATAATCTCCCTCGATCTGGGGCTCAACGCAAGATCTCACCCCGTGGGGTCAAAATGATCACAAGAACGGTGAGCAAAAATCCCAGAACCACACGGGGGGACCTAGTGAATGACCTGCAGAGAGCTGGGACCAAAGTCACAAAGCCTACCATCAGTAACACACTACGCCGCCAGGGACTCAAATCCTGCAGTGCAAGACGTGTCCCCCTGCTTAAGCCAGTACATGTCCAGGCCCGTCTGAAGTTTGCTAGAGTGCATTTGGATGATCCAGAAGAGGATTGGGAGAATGTCATATGGTCAGATGAAACCAAAATAGAACTTTTAGGTAAAAACTCACCTTGTCGTGTTTGGAGGACAAAGAATGCTGAGTTGCATCCAAAGAACACCATACCTACTGTGAAGCATGGGGGTGGAAACATCATGCTTTGGGGCTGTTTTTCTGCACGGACGACTGATCCGTGTAAAGGAAAGAATGAATGGGGCCATGTATCGTGAGATTTTGAGTGAAAACCTCTTTCCATCAGCAAGGGCATTGAAGATTAAACGTGGCTGGGTCTTTCAGCATGACAATGATCCCAAACACACCACCCGGGCAACGAAGGAGTGGCTTCGTAAGAAGCATTTCAAGGTCCTGGAGTGGCCTAGCCAGTCTCCAGATCTCAACCCCATAGAAAATCTTTGGAGGGAGTTGAAAGTCCGTGTTGCCCAGCGACAGCCCCAAAACATCACTGCTCTAGAGGAGATCTGCATGGAGGAATGGGCCAAAATACCAGCAACAGTGTGTGAAAACCTTGTGAAGACTTACAGAAAACGTTTGACCTGTGTCTGCCAACAAAGGGTATATAACAAAGTATTGAGAAACTTTTGTTATTGACCAAATACTTATTTTCCACCATAATTTGCAAATAAATTCATTAAAAATCCTACAATGTGATTTTCTGGAGATTTTTTTTTCTCATTTTGTCTGTCATAGTTGACGTGTACCTATGATGAAAATTACAGGCTTCTCTCATCTTTTTAAGTGGGAGAACTTGCACAATTTGTGGCTGACTAAATACTTTTTTCCCCCACGGTGTGTGTGTGTATGTATATATATATATATTGTGACGTCACGAGAGGCTACACCGCTTTCAGCGGGATTGCTCAAGTAGTGCAAGGAGACAAGGTTCAAACAAAACAAGGATTTTATTAAAGGTCTTGGGAAATTAACGAAAATATAACAAAATTCTGTTCTCTTGTGGCTCTTTAAGGGTTAACAGTTCAGGGATGTCTCTTCCACATCCAAAATCATAATTCTCACTCGCTCAGATAACTTTTCCCCAGCCTTACTGTAGTCCACGTTGCAGCTAGTGGCCAACCCAGCAAAGAGTCCTTCCAAATGTCTCTCACGTATTTCCACAGGCGAATATATCCAAAGGTGAGTATTTCCCCAAAGGTAAGTATCTCCAAATCCTTATATTCCTCATGGAAGTGGACGTGCAGCACTCTTGTCCTCCAGAGAGCCCAGGTTGGAGACTGTGTTTCTTCACCCTCCACCCCCTCCCTCTCAGTGTGTCTCTTCCCTTCAAAAACCCTCCAGCTCATCAGCTCCTGATTTGTTTCAGCTGCGTGGGAAGATTGGCCATAGAGGGGTGGAGTTCCCGACCATACCAGCAGATGGAGCCATAGCTGTCTGGGTTTGCAGCCATCTCAGGGGGATGTAACGTCCCTCCAGGACACAGCCTCTCGTGACATCACAATATATACACATACACACACACTACCAGTCAAAAGCTTGGACACACAGTGAAGACATCAAAACTATGAAATACCACATATGGAATCATGTCCAAACTTTTGACTGGTACTGTATATACAGTTGAAATCGGAAGTTTACATACACCTTAGCCAAAAACATTTAAACTCAGTTTTTCACAATTCATGACATTTAATCCTAGTAAAAATTCCCTGTCTTAGGTCAGTTAGGATCACCACATTATTTTAAGAATGTGAAATGTAAGAATAATAGTAGAGTGAATGATTTATTTCAGCTTTTATTTCTTTCATTACATTCCCAGTGGGTCAGAAGTTTACATACACTCAATTAGTATTTGGTAGCATTGCCTTTAAATCGTTTAACTTGGGTCAAACGTTCCGGGTAGCCTTCCACAAGCTTCCCACAATAAGTTGGGTGAATTTTGGCCCATTCCTCCTGACAGAGCTGGTGTAACTGAGTCAGGTTTGTAGGCCTTGCTCGCACACGCTTTTTCAGTTCTGCCCACACATTTTCAGGTCAGGGCTTTGTGATGGCCACTCCAATACCTTGACTTTGTTGTCCTTAAGCCATTTTGCCACAACTTTGGAAGTATGGTTGGGGTCATTGTCCATTTGGAAGACCCATTTGCGACCAAGCTTTAACTTCCTGACTGATGTCTGGAGATGTTGCTTCAATATATCCACATTATTTTCCTTCCTCATGATGCCATCTATTTTGTGAAGTGCACCAGACCCTCCTGCAGCAAAGCACCCCCACAGCATGATGCTGCCACCCCCGTGCTTCACGGTTGGGATGGTGTTTCGACTTGCAAGCCTTCCCCTTTTTCCTCCAAACATAACGATGGTCATTATGGGCAAACAGTTCTATTTTTGTTTAATCAGACCCAGAGGACATTTTCTCCAAAAAGTACGATCTTTGTCCCCATGTGCAGTTGAAAACCGTAGTCTGACTTTTTAATGGCGGTTTTTGGAGCAGTGGCTTCTTCCTTGCTGAGCGGCCTTTCAGGTTATGTTGATGTAGGACTCGTTTTACTGTGGATATAGATACTTATGTACCTGTTTCCTCCAGCATCTTCACAAGGTCCTTTGCTGTTGTTCTGGGATTGATTTGCACTTTTCGCACCAAAGTACGTTCATCTCTAGGAGACAGAACGTGTCTCCTTCCTGAGCGGTATGATGGACTGCGTGGTCCCATGGTGTTTATACTTGCGTACTATTGTTTGTACAGATGAACGTGGTACCTTCAGGCGTTTGGAAATTGCTCCCATGGATGAACCAGACTTTTGGAGGTCTACAATTGTTTTTCTGAGGTCTTGGCTGATTTCTTTTGATTTTCCCATGATGTCAAGCAAAGAGGCACTGAGTTTGAAGGTAGGCCTTGAAATACATCCACAGGTACACCTCCAATTGACTCAAATGATGTCAACTAGCCTATCAGAAGCTTCTAAAGCCATGACATTTTCTGGAATTTTCCAAGCTGTTTAAAGACACAGTCAACTCAGTGTATGTAAACTTCTGACCCACTGGAATTGTGATACATTTAAATTTTAGTCAGTTAGCAGACGCTCTTATCCAGAGCGACTTACATGAGCAATTAGGGTTAAGTGCCTTGCTCAAGGGCACAGACAGATTTTTCACCTAGTCGGCTCGGGGATTAGAACCAGCGACCTTTCGGTTACTGGCACAACGCTCTTAACCACTAAGCTACCTGCCACCCATGAGCAGTGAATTATAAGTTAAATAATCTGTCTGTAAACAATAGTTGGAAAAATTACTTGTGGCATGCACAAAGTAGATGTCCTAACCGACTTGCCAAAACGATAGTTTGTTAACAAGAAATTTGTGGAGTGGTTGAAAAACGAGTTTTAATGACTCCAACCTAAGTGTATGTACACTTCCGACTTCAACTGTATATCCATCTAGAGCTCTGCTCAGGTCTGTGTGTCAACACAGTAGAAGGATATCTAGGAAAGACCAGCCCAGTGCACATGGCTCCTAGGTGCTGCCAGGACTGTGTCATTATTCTGGTAGCTGCTCATGGAGCCCTTTAAAGAGCCCTGTGCTAATCCCTACCTATAGCCCATGGCACAGTCTACAGAGGAATCAAAGACTAGCTGGAGGGGCTAGTGAAGCCACTGGGAGGCAGGTAAGACCTTAATGGCCTGTTCCAAAGCGTTGGCCTGGCAACTGAGTGCTCAGCGTGTCCTCCCTCCTCATGTATTCTGCGCATGCAGGCACACATTCAGCTATCAGAAACACATAGGCATATCACTCAAGGCAGAACACACGCAGTGTGACACACAAGCAAACACACACCTGCAAACAGCAGACAGACGGATGTCGTGCCTGGGTGAAATGAACCTTATCTCTTCCCTGTCCGTATCTCCACCTCCCTCCCACTGTTCCAGTACAAAGACAGGTAATATGTTACAGTGGGGTGGGAGAAACCCAGTCTACTCTGCTGCGCCATTCCTCGGCCAATCACGCGAGCGATAAGCACACAGCAAAGTCAACTGCTCCTTGTCATGCAACCTGCCGCTGAGGAGAGGCAATAAGAGGGAGAAGTGGGAGTTGCACTATAATCTAGTTGCTTTTCAACCATCCCGCCAGCTAGGTGCGTTTGTAAGGAATTCCCCTGCTACAGCTCCCCCCCACCCGATCCTGTGTACTCTCACTCACACACACAGCACATACACACACACTCCACTACACGCAATGCTCAACCTGCTCAACTGGGTAGCCAGGAGCATGCAGGGGCAGTAAAATAAACTGAGCTGGAAGCAATCCTTCAAGCATGACAACGAGAACGTCGAAGCTGAAATCAATACACACACACAGGCTGGAAGCGGGCCATGGGTGATTAGGGCTGGCGCTGAGAGAGGGAGGGGGGAGAGAGAAAGAGGGAGAGAACAGGGAGTGTGGTTCCACAGCTTCACAAGGCTCCTCCAGACTACAGGCCTGTTGCTGCTGCAGTACCAAGGGGGTGCAAGTCTCTAAGACTCCATCACCTCAGCCCTCATAACTAAGATTAATGCAGGTCAACTGATTAGAAAGTTCCATTTGCTCTCATGCCACCGGACCAAGTGAATCAATAGTTGTGAATATCATACTCGTCCTCAGCTCTCTCTCCTGTCACTTTTACAGGGCCGTGATTTGATTTGTTCTGTGGCTTTAGTGTGTTTGCACTGAAGAGATTTGAGTACACGTGTAGCAGTGGAGGCTGCTGAGGGGAGGACGGCTCATAATAATGGCTGGAACGGAGCAAACGGAATGGCATCAAACACATGGAAACCATGTGTTCGATGTTGTTGATACCTTTCCACTTTTTCCATTCCAGCCATTACCACGTGCCCGTCCTCCCCAATGAAGGTGCCACCAACCTCCTGTGACGTGTAGTTGAAGAGTGGTTTAACACGCATAGGAATTAGCAAAGGAGAGTAGACCTATGCCTTTTCCATCGAAACGGAATAATTAGGCCTATAATGCACCACATAGATAGCCCTTACAGACGACTTGTCTACGTGCAGACAGACAATTGTTAAACCTAGCCCCTTTTCTGTTGTCTCAGATTGTTGATTTAAAATGTTTACAGTGCTGTGGATAGGAATGGATTCAGGTGAGAGCAGCCTCGAGTAGGGTAAGGGTTTGTTCCACTTGTAGTGTGGATGCATCCCAAATGGCACCCTATTCCCTATGGGCCCTTGGCAAAAGTAGTGCACTATATAGGGAATAGGGTGCCATTTGAGCGGTAACCTGTGTGTGACTATGAGAGGTGCTGTTTATGTAAAGCTCAGAGCGGTCTGATAATTACAAGGTACAGAGGATGGAGCTTTGCATGACAGCATTCAGACAGAGAGAGGCAGAGGTAGCAGACCTGCCCAGCCTGTTCGGTAAAAGGAGACAAAAGCGTCCACATTCAGCTCCCAGTTCTCAGCACCAGGGGCAAGGCTTTTAATGGCCGCCTGGCCCATCATAGTCACCGCACTGCTGTCACCATGGTAACACTGGCTGGTGGCCATGTTAGGCTACTTAGAAAAAAGTGGCCATGTCATAACCCTTTCTAAAAACTGCTGCACATTGCACATACCTGTATGTCAGTACAGTATGTACTGTAGTGTAGCGGGCTATTTGAGGCTCACATGTTTGTAGTCAGTCATTTCACGTAGTGGATTAAGTTATCCAGCTAGGTGTATCAGTGTAGTATCTTTGTCTGGGAGTATTTAGTCAGCTGGCAACAGAAGCATAACACTCCTATCTCCATGGGGGCACAGAATGCATTCTATGACTAATAGCGATGGTATTGGCATTGCTATCCTCTTTTCCCTAATGAGAGAGCGAGCATGCGTGTGTGAGAGCCGGTTTGTGCGCGTGAGCTTGTGTTCCACTTAGACCCATATCACTTTATGCCAACACCAGAAACCAGATTTGACCGGTACTGATCCCCTATCCCTACAGTGAGTCCTGCAGCGCCCAGCAGAGTGATAGGTGCTGCTCTTCTTGTCACACCTTGGAATCCAGGCCAGGGGCCTAGTATAGCGTGCCATTCACTTATCTCCTGTATGAAACCAATTATGTAACACACTTATAAAGAGTGTTGTTGAGGTGTGGGAGAGCGGCTCCTCTTCCCAGATTGGGACTGCATGGTGTGGTGGGGCAGTGAGCTCAAAGCTCAAAAGTTACCTGCTGCCTCAATCAAAAGAGTAACCAGAGTAGGATCCCAGCCAGCCCAGCACGTTGCGAAAGTGGGAGGTGGCCCTCTCTGGCCTATAGGAGACAGTCAAACCCACACCCAGCAAAGAGCTTCAGTGTTGCATCACAGAAGCACAAGATGTAGGCCTACATCAGACCCACACTGTCACTCTGAGAACTTATACTATTTCTGTCTAAAGTCAACAACACTGACATGGAGGGGGAATTCAACTACATTCCAAAGCAAACACTACACTCATTATCACCAGTCCGCAAGACACGTATGCAACAGAAAACATCCTGATGGTAGAACTTGTCGTTCATCATTTCTTTTAATTTTCACAAATCTAATGGTAAATCCCCATTCTCTGGTTGAATGGGTCACCAATCTACAGCGGTTTTCCCATCTCTGAGCTACATGAAAAACATTCTAGTATCTTAAAGGAGAGAAAGACAAACAAGAGTCTGTGTATGGACAGAGAAGTGTAGCTCATTAGGGTTGTGTGTGTGTGTGTGTGTGAGAGAGAGAGTGTGTGAATGGTGGGTGTGTCACTCCTTAGGGAGAAGCCAGCAGTGATTACTGAGAGGGAGAGCCTCAGCCTGGCGTAACCTCTTAACCACACGCTGCACACGGGCTGGGGCTGTGACAGGAACCTATATCTCTCCCCCATCTCATCTCCAGCCCGATGGGCTTCACTGAGAATACCCACACTGTTGTAATCCCTCACGGTTGCGTCCGATTACAGGGGCAATTTTCTTCTTGCCTGTTTGTTTAAGGCCTATTTTAGAACTGTACACAATGTCCAGTCTCTCCACTAGTCTGGCTCGCTTAGCCAAACTCATGGGTCTACTTTTAGCCTCAATAGATGCAGTGGCTGTGGTGAGAGACACTCAGGGCCTAAGGGCACTGGCAGGCCTCTGGAAGTGAATGTGTGATGACAGATGTGAATGGAGAGTGCTCTATCTGTCTATCCCTCAGGGCAGCAGGTCTCTAGATGTGGATGTGTGAGATATATGTGAATGGAGGGTGGTGCTCTCTCTCGCTCTCTTGCCCATGGTGGATGTGAATGGAGCCAATGGAGGGTGTTCTGTTCTCTCTCTCTTACCAGTGCAGTACTCCTTGCCCCCGTGTTGTGGGACCGTGATCTGCCGGTAGACGACTGGTTTGACCTCCAGGATGTTCTCGTCGTGACGGTAACGTGTGGGTGTACCGCGTTCGCCACCGTGCGTTCCACGGGAACGTGCCCCATTGCAATCTGTGTCGTCAATCTGCGAGAACACGGCTGCCTTGTCGAACAGTGCCAGGTTCCCCTCAAAGTCAAAGTCTGTGTCCAGACCCTCGTCCACCTCAGCACCAAAACACTCGTCGTCCCTGATCCTCATCTGCCCCCCTCCTCCTACTACTCCGTTCTTCACTCCGTTCTTCTTCGGCGTGGCCTGGTTTGGCGCTCGGTTACTAGATGATGCTGGAGGACCTGATTAACATAAATCAAGACATTAGGAGGACGATTTATTCTGATTTATTTTTACAGTACATAGGCCTGTAGCCTGACTAGCAATTATGGTGCACAAGCCCAAATCCCAGTTAAGAGGGTAATTTTTCAGACTGGGGTCCATTAATCTCTGTCAGGACTCCAGTCTGCTCTCTATGTCCTCAATACTGATCTTATCCTATGGCTGTATCAGGAGCTATAGTTAGATAACAAGCAACGTCAATAGAACATTAATAATATAGGCTAGTAGTTTTCTATCCTCAACACACAATCCTCAACACACAACGTTTAGATACATGCATGGCGCACTAACAAATCAAAAAGAACTAAGATGAGAAACAAAAAAATAACTGGAAAAACCGGGTGTTCAACCCTAACCGTGCTGAGGTCTCACGCTAACCTAGAGACAGAGAGAGAGAGAGAGAGAGAGAGAGAGAGAGGCACAGTCGCACGCAAGTGTCACACTGACAGCTAGGTACTTTGGGCTCTCACGCAAGATTCACACCAAGACTCTCAGTCAAGTCACGTACACACTACTGTTGTTGTCACAATGGCGTTGTCATCCGATCACACCGACTGATCTGAGACTTGCTACTATATCAATGTATTTTCGACAATGGAGGGGAGTGAGGGACTGCTTTTAAAAAAATCTGTTAATATGTGTGCATTAGCTTTTCAACATAGGCAAACATATTACAATGAAACCACAGAGTATTATTACCTACAGGTCTATTGTAAATCTCAGTGAATCAGATACCTGAATGCACTGGGCAATGCTCCAAGTCAAGCAGAGAATAATGAACACCAAGTTAGTACTAGTGTCTGATAGAAGTGATGTGAAAATGTGGAGAACAGAAAGAATCTTATGTTCAATGAAGGCTGAGATATTTGAACAAAACATGAACTTGAGCCATGTGAAACATCATTGACAAACTACACGGTGAACTACATTTCAAAGAATGATTAAACATGACCCATATTTAAGTTACACACGTTACAAGCAAATGTTGGCCAATACTCTTACAGAAAAATAAATCACTATGACAACGGTGAGATAAACACACAGGAACTGGAGTGAGTGACAGTGTGCTGTGACAGCATGTGAGGCTTGTCAACATGTTGCTGTGTGGAGGGAAATGTGTTCACATGCAAGTTAAGACTGACAGAAGGAAAACATGTCAGTCAGCCGCAACAACTCCCTCTGTGTATGTGTGTGTGACACTGTCCAATCAAGAACAGGAAAGAAGAGCTTTACTGTACAGTTAATGGTATGTACCAGAGGCACAGGAAAAACAAAGGACTCTAAGCTGACAGCATGTATGCATAGGAACATTTGTATATGCAAAAATAAGAGCTATTTCCCCCCCCCAATTACCCTCTTAACAAGGTCATTTTAGATCCAAGAAAATCCACTCGATTTGCAGAGGACTATCCTAACTCTCCCAGAAACATTAATGTCAGATAATTATAAATAATTTGTATAGCCCATGATCTTGCATAAGTAGTCCCTAACCCCACCTCCCTTTCTTTCTATGGCCCCCCACTAAGGGGCTGGTTAGGGGCATGGCATTGCGTGTGAAAGGGTCAGCCCAACCCCTTCCACTCAGCACTTTGGTCTCATGCAATTTGTGCATTAGCGCCCTTGGCTGTTGGCCCAAGAATCTGGAGATTAAAATAAAAAATGCAAAGGTAAACAGTGCTTCCACAATTGATATGGTCTGCCCCCTTCCAAGCACACTGCCACTGGGACAACATGGCTTCCTGTGGGGGGTTTCCTGTTCTGAGCAGGAGAGAGGGAGGGAGACGAGACGGAGAACAGAAGGGCACTAAGGCACGTAGGCCAGGCCTTGCATAACCTCCTCTTTAGGAGCAGACACAGCGAGGGGGGGAATGTTTATTGATCTTAGTCACACACATATTGTAAAGAGGAACTTTGGTAAAAGCCTTTAGCACGCTATGGGAATCTGGGGCTCAGGCTTGTTAATAGTAACCCGGTGACACCATAGACTAGAGGAAAGGACACCGGTTCACCAGAGAGACAGAAATAAACTAGACTGATTAAGCAGATAACTACTACGTAGCTATTTTAAAAGGGTTGCTGCTTTATGGGTTGTGGTTATTATACCTGGCAGAAATGATAGAAAACTATTCTCATAGTACATCCGAGGATAATCATTTACTAAAACATTTATGCCAAAACACTGCAGGGATTTCTGTGTCTGATAAACAGAAATAACAGAGCAGGGACCAAACAAAAGAAACAGAAGCCCTAAACGTATGAATGCGCCAGTCAGGTAAAGCATAGCATAACATGACTAAGTGTAACCTTTGCACAGAGGCAACCTTTCCCTTCCTATCCACAGAGCCTAGGTGTCTCTCAGAAAAGACAAGTGCATAAATGTTACTATGATGAAGCAATGTGTTGGCTCGGCTTCAGTGACTGCTGACAAATGTGCAGAGCCTAGAGATTAGGGAGTGGAGTTACATGTGACACTGATACTTTTAGTTTCACATTTCCTCCGGTCACTTAATAAGGAAAAGATCAACAATGATAACTTTTTGCTCTATAATCACAGTCAGATAGCGAGAAATATGTTCATGGCTGTGGTTAAACTGTCTTATGTAAACATGTCATAATTGAGAAATAGCCTCATTCACAATGTGATAATGTGTTGAGTGTACTTTCTAAATGGGACTAACTGTTACAGTTGGCACCAAATTCAATGAGTAAACACTTGAAGTGGCTAAATATAGTGCAGGTCAAATGTATTAGCCTACCTCTAGCACTCATAAGCAACAAAGGCAGAGATACAAGTTATGTAGTCATTGAGTGTGATGGTGTAAGATTCTGGTGCAATATACAGTGCATTCGGAAAGTATTCAGACCCCTAGACTTTTTCCACATTTTGTTACGTTACTAGGGCTGTGGCGGTCACAAAATTTAGTCAGCCGGTGATTGTCAAGCAAATAACTGTCAGTCTCACAGTAATTTACCGTTAATTAACATACACACATTTAGCATCTCCTGGCTTCCACACATAGCCTACAAGCCACTGATACAGACATTTGGAACAACTACATTTAAAAAAAGTCAAATAAATCCATGTAATATCGCCTACACCTTCACAATAAATCCATTATTTATTGAAGCATGATATGAAGAAGATGTAGTCTATTTCAGAAGAACAGAATAGAATACTCTGAGTTGTCCAAATGGCTGTGGGCTACACTAGTTCATTTAGCAGACAAGATTTGCTTAGAATTCCGTGGCATTATTTTATAGTATGATGAACACAATTGAACAAAGCTGAATAAAATATACATGTTTTCACCAAACGATTTGAGAGAGTGCGCACGTGCAGCTACTCCGTGTTGAGCGGTTAACTAAGAAATAGGTACTCCTATATGCTTAATTTAGAGTTAATGTAACTTTAGTTGTTCTACAAACGTTGGGCTATATGTTTAGATTTTTTATACATTGTAAGGCTGCATGATGCAACTCTAATGATGATTTGAAAAAAGTCGCTTGAAAGGCATGAGCTCTGCTTTGTTTTTAGCGCAGGCTGTCCACACTTCATTAGTCTCTCATTCACAATTTGAAAAGCACTTGATAATGCCTCGAATATCACGGCGGCATCCCCTTTGTGGCCGTAATGCACCCTAAAAAAATCCATGCCTATTGCGGCCAGTGGCCGTTGTGCCCTTCTTCCATCACGTGATCGGGTCTTTCTCACAGGCTACAAGTGAAGTCAGACACATCGGGCACGCAACTGCGCGCGTCCTTATCCAATTCCGAGGTGCATATTGAGGATATTGGAAGAACTGTCCACATTTACTTTTCGTCAGCAAACAAGATGAGTAGGCCTAACGAACAGCAAAAGCACTAGCCTATGTCAATCTACTATCCCCCATAGTACAAAAGTCGACCTATTCTATTCTGTGCGAGAGAATAAATATTCCAAACATAGTCTGGGACAGTTGTGGGAAGCAATAGATCCCAAGTTAATATAACCACTAGCATCAAAAAAACGTTTTTGAAGCAATGTGGCTGACGCAACAGATCAGAATATTTAGCTTAAAATGTTGATAAACTATTAGGCTATATCTTCACATTATAAGCGCAGCAATGCGCGCATGGCAGTAGGCTATAAGCGCAAATGTTCCATTAGCGGGAAAACACCATTATCAAAAGTGACTGCAAATGCTATTATGAATGTAACGCTTTTATTATAAAAGGTGAATTTTTATGGTGAAAATTATCTTATCCAAACTTGAAACTCATGCGCTGCTTATGTATGCCATTTAGGCTCTAAACCCCTTGTAACGCGGATGAATGTGCTTCATTTTAAGAAGTTATTTGGCCACTTTAGCTGTGATACAAACCTTATCAAAACATACAGTGCATTCAGGAAGTATTCAGACCCCTTGACTTTTTCCACATTTTGTTACGTTACAGCCTTATTCTAAAATTGTACTGGTTGCAAAGTACTGCGTAAAGGGTCTGAATACCTATGTAAATAAGGTATTTCTGTTATTTATTTTTAATACATTTGCAAAAAATTATAAAAACCTGTTTTTGCTTTGTCATTATGGGGTATTGTGTGTAGATTGATGAGGAAAAAAATAATTTCATCAATTTTAGAATAAGGCTGTAACGTAACAAAATGTGGAAAAGGTCAAGGGGTCTGAATACTTTCCGAATGCATAAGAAGAAAGGCTGTGGCCATTTTAGAACACACTGAAGAAGCCCATGGCCTATTCAAATGCACTCAGTCAGACAGCACTCTTTGTGGCTTCTGGAGAACTGCTGATAGAAGGTGGTGTTCCACTACCGCTGTATAAAAGTCCCCCAGCCCAATTGATGGTAACTGAGGGGATGTTGCGTTGGGGCCTTGCAACCAGTTTGAAAAATAAAACTCTCAAACTAGTCCTCTCATCTCACCTTTGCGTAAAATGGTAATAGGAGCGGTGGTGGAATGGGTGTTGTTGGCAGGGTAACCACCTCTGCTATTCTGACCACTCTGCCCTGAAGATATGACGCCTGGATCAGACAAGACACCCTGTCCAGCACTGGCTCTGCTGCCACCACTTTGAGTTTGGATATCCAGGAACTTGAGCTCTTTGATGTCCATAGCACTGCATAGAATGTAAACATTGGTATGTTAGGCATGTTAACAGCAGATTGCTTAAAACAAATAAGTAGGCCCCTATGTCTTTGTGAAATAACTAGATCAATGCACAGAATGTAGTATGTCTGTGTGTGCCGTCTTGCCAAATGCAAACTCAAACTCCTATGTCATTGTCACCGCAAATTATTTCCCGAAACTGTGACTCAGGCTAATCTTTCTGTACTTCACCATGTGAAAGCCTTACCTGAAGGTGACCTCAGGGACAGGGCACCTGACCCCATTGTGGTAAGGTTGTCTGAGAGAGATGGTCTGACTAGTCTGGTCCACAGATGACACTTCTCCCTGGTACATGCCCAGGGTTGGTCCACAGTTTATTGACACCAGACTGCCTAACCAGTCTGCAGCCATTCTCTCTGGATCTAGGCATATATGGAAGACGGAGAACAACTTCACAAATACATCATAGCGTTCTGATCAAGGGGAAATTAACGGTGTAAAACATTCTAAGGACTTGGTTACAGGTCTAAAATTATTTGAGTTGCATCCCAGTTACATTGGCTATACAATGGGCTAACAGTAGAGGGTAACCACAGCCCTTTGTAGTTTACTACTAGCTACCTAATGTAAGCTGTCTACTCACACATCACTTACCTACTCTGGCAATGACGTCGTTAGCTAGCTAGGAAATAAGCTGGCAATGTAGCTGTCAAATACCCTAGTTAGCTATCGCTATTTCTTTTAAATCGGTATCTAGCTAGCTAACTACATAACGTAACTAACTAGCTGTTCCAATCTAAAAGCTGGCTAACTACCTAGCTAACTAAATAGCTAGCTACTGCCAAATTGTTGTGAACGCTAACTAGATAACGTTGGCGTAGCTAAATCAGAGATCATGGCTAACGTCGGTTATTAATATATCCATCCTCTCCACCCTTTTGTTATTCATGAAACGCTTTGAGGTAAAATTGAAAATGATATACCTTGTTCTTGTGTATGATAGTTTTTTGTGATGAATTTGCTAGTTTGCTAACAACACTTTCTGAACTCGAAGAGTTGTGTTGTTTCCTGGTCACAACGTCACTTCCTTCACCCCCCAAGTCCAAGTCTTTTACACAGGTAAGTGACGATATCCAACCCTATCTTATCTAGCTAGTAGTGTCACAGATTTACTCTTTGGTCAGCCAAATATAGACGTCCTCTCCTAATGGTAGGCCTGTGTGTATTAGCTTGTGTATGCATGCATGGGTTGCCAATGAGATAGGCCAACACACTTAAGAAAATAGTTCATTGATTTTCTTTCATTTTCAGCTTTTATTTCAGTAGCTACCCAGATAGCTACCAACAACACAATGCATAGTGTATACAGTTGGGGTTTTAGTCTACAAGAGTCCTTCGTTACATTATAAAATGTTGACATTTATAACACAGTCAGTAATACATACATAATTTATTTTGGTATCCTGATAAAGTCATACAAAGCCACCATAATAAGTCACCACAATATATACACATTTTAGGCACATTTCAAAAAAGGACTTTCCAAAATACATCTAGACTTAAATATGTACACCAACAATCAATCACATTTTGGTGGGATACAAACATAGCTTCAGTGTGTTGTGTCCACATTTGACAGAATAAAAATATCAAGCTTAGAAATGGGAGGATACATCCATTCAACTGTCTGTGATCTATGACCACCTGAACAATAACTCAAAAGTATGAGAGCAGGCACTTTATCATGTAGGTTGTAACATTCTTCACTCAAAAAATTCTGTAGCAAAAAATTATACCAAAAATGCTACTAAAAAGCAATGCTCTTTAACATTCCACCATGGGTTTATGTGTATGTTTTATAGATTGATCCTCTTTAAAGCGATCTGATACAGTATATGAGCTGTGATCAAGGCAATAGGAAGAGTACAACATGATGATGTAGACAAAAAGGCAGCTAAACAGCTATAGTCTGTCCTGATATCTCCTGAAGCAACACCTGACAACCTCTAGTAGGGCCTGTAGTATGCTGGTCATAGAAACTAATCAACTCTACGAGTTAGTGAAGGTCCTTTATCCAATACAACACTTGTTTGGAATCCCTCTACAACCCGTGTTTCAGATTATAATTGTATTGATTTCAAATTGTCTATAATTTGACTCAGTTTTCCCTCACTGTTAATTCTCCTATGAATTAAGAGAGGTGTCAAGCCCGGTCTTTCCAAGAGAGAAAATGTACCCTCTGGCTTTTAAATCTGAACTCAGCTCATGCCATCAAGTATGTAGGGCTAACTATAAGTCAGTTATAGTGATGTTGAGAATCATAAATGTGACCATGGCCCTCACTCCTCCTGCCCCCATGCCCGCAGGCTAGCCTTCAGCTGACAGCGCTTGTGCTTCATGGTGAGGCCGTACTCTGGGGTCATGTCCAGTGGGTGTCCGGGTTTCTCCTGGAAGCGCAGCCTTTGGAGCAGGATGGCCAAGAAGAGGTAGACCTCATTACGTCCGATGGCCTCACCGATGCAGCGGCGCTTGCCCATGCCGAATGTGAGCACCTTTTCCCCCTCCAGCTTGTTGAGTTCTGTGCCATCAGCACTCAGGAAACGGTCAGGGTTGAATGAAGAAGGCTCCTTCCACAGCTCCCTGAAGAGCACAGAGGTAACAATTTACATTAAGTTCTTGTTATACCTGTGTAGTAACACTGTAATTACTACAGTAACAAGTAGTTTAGTAGTTGCATAGTAATGGAGTTGAGCAGTTTTAGTTTAAAAATCCTACTCACGGGTCATGGTTGACCTGCCACTGGTTGATGAAGACACAGGTGTCCTTGGGAATGAAGTAGCCATTGAGGGATGTATCCTTGACCGTACTGAAAAAATATTGACAATACCAGAGTCAGACCATGCCATATGTGTCTATAATGTGTAACTGATATTGTAAATGTCTGTTTGGCTGATATTGTAAATGTGTGTTTTGAGCAGGTGCAAGTGCAACTCACCAGTGTGGGATGGTGAACGGCATGAAGGAAGAGTGCCGGAAGATCTCCAGGATGAAAGCTTCCAGCAGAGGTAAGTTGGTTTTGTCTGAGAGACGGGGAGTGCGATTCATTCCCACCTTTTTCTCTGTTGGGAGGACAATAGAGAACATTGGTTATCAATGATGAATGGGACAGGTAGTGACAGGTCAGTAAGCCACAATATTTGGAATCATGACTCCTTAGAATTACATATAGAACTGATTTATAGGATCTCTCTGTGGATGATTCATTTCATTTAGGGATCAGAACTATCTGTTAAAACCAGCAAGTTTCAACTTACTCAGTTCCTGATGCAGTCTTTCCTGGATCTCTGGGTAAGCCACAAGGTACACAACAGCCCATGACAGAGCTGTGCTGATGGTGTCGAAACCTTGAGAGGGAGACAGAAGCCGCATTGTATAATTAAAACGTCCTCCAAATGGGAATTTTTTTTCAATGATATGGAGTGACTCAGCATAACTGTTGCGTTATTTTAACTCAACTCACCTGCCCCAAACAGATCATTGACAATGCCCACAATTTTCTCATCAGACACCTGGACGTTGGCGTTCTCATCTAGTTTCCTGTCCTTCACAGTGGTCAATGAGGGAGTCAGTGATGTCACGGATGTTGTCCTGAAAACAGAACAATGGACAATCAGTATCACAGACAACAAACAGCAATAGATCAAACATGGAATGAAACATGTAACATCTTTGAAACATGATGCAATGTATTATTTACCTTGTCATAGGTTTCATAGTGCTCGCTGACAATCTTCTGCACAAAGGTATTGAAACGGTCATTGATATCCATAAACCTCTTCATGGTGCGGTTGGGTAGGTAACGAAGGAAGGGAATGAAGTCTGCAGGGTTGCCGCTGCCCACCACCTTTCCAAACTCATCACTCATGTTCACCAAGCCCAACAGCTCCTGGTCATCATGACTGTAGCGCCGGCCGAAGCACATTCCACAGATGACGTTGGCCACCGATACGACAATATGGCGGAAGGGGTCAAAGCTGCCACTGACATCCATGACGGAGGTCAGCTGTTTTACTAGGTACTCTCCCTCCTTGCAGACGTGCTCCTCCAGGGCACAGGAGTACTCAGGGGTCGATCCCTCCAGGGTGGCGAAAGAGCGGAGGGCACTCATAGCTAGCTTGCGGCGGGCGCGCCACACTCCAGACTTGTCGGTGCTGAAGGCCAGGCTCTTGCCGTCGTTGATGTACTTGAAGCTGTATAGATCGGGCCTCCCGGCGAAGTCTTCCCCTTGCTTGATAAGAGCCTGGCGGACTGTCTCGCTGCCACTCAGAACAACCACTGGCCGCATCCCTATCTGGATCTGGTAGACTGAGCCGTAGCGCTCGCTCATGGCAGTCAGGCTGAGGTGAGGGTTGTTCTGCACCTCCAGCACATTCCCGATGATGGGCAGGGGCCTTGGTCCTGGGAGCCGTTTCAGTCCCTCTGGGATCTCTGTGTGCATGTACTTCATGAACATGTACACCAGGCATAGTGTTACCATGGCCACCAGCCCCTCAGACACAGAGACTGAGCCAATAATGGGTAGTATCATGAGAACCATATTGTTTTTTTTTTTAGTGGCTTCTGCACAATCTGTAAGAAGGAGAGGTACATGTTTTAGTGATTAATAGTGAGCAAGAAAGATACTCCAGCTGAGTAATAAACATTGCTTGAAAACATTGTTCGAAAATTGCATTGGGGGGAATTACGCAAGAGTGTGCCCATGCTGACTGCATTGCTTTACGCATACAGTCCGATGTACTTTACGCATGGCGCACTCACACCTTTCACGCTCTTTGCAAGCCACCCTACTCTACCAGTCGCGTAAACATAGGCTACATAAAGTCTGTATATATATATTTTTTAAAGCCCTTAACTGTTATATTGCCTACACGTACGTAAAAGTGCCAATTTTTTTCGATTAGATTACACTAAAAAGAAGACTCAATAATAAACGGTACAAGATAACATTATATAATGCGTTTTGGAGCTTGTTATTTTGTAAAACAGTACTAATATTATGTGAAAAATAGTTAATAAATGTCATTTCGACACTTCATTCACAACAAAAAGACACCTGCTATTCCAACATCTGTTTACTTGTTCTTAAGTTAAATGTAAATACATTACACGCAGAATTAGTCCTTTTTATTACCTTCCGTTATGAGCCAAATGAGCCGTCTTGCAGGGAGATCGAAGAAGTTTGCAGGTGAGGTTCAATTATACAAAGCTTTTTCTCTTGCTAAAAGAGAACTCCGTTTCTCTGTACTTAGAAGTAAGAATGGGCACTTCTTTTATAGAGCGCTTCTCAGCTCCATTGGCTGATGTCTGAGTGACGAAACCTCTCTCTCTCTCTTTCTCTCTTGGCTTGCCAGGAGCAGCGGCTCTCTCTGAAGGAGAGGTATAATAAAATATTAAGCGGAAACATCAAAAGAAACGTCTAAGATTGCATGCTTTCACTAATATATCAGTGATGGGCCCTATTGAAAAAATATATACATACAATTTCATATAGTTTGTTATAATTTTTTTTTTTTATGTCTATCCATAGAGAAATTCAATAGACTGCATGTTTTCTTTTCGAACAAGCCATTCTCAGTAGGCTCCTCCACGTTCATATGACTTGGGACCAAATAGTCCCACAATTTTTTATTGTATATATTTTTTACATTTTTAGATTTGATTTGAGGTTTACATCAGAATGATTGGATGAGCCGATTTTCATATGTTCATTAGCCTGTTGGAGGGAGTTATAAAACAGACTATACAGAAGAAGCCAGACAGGTAAGAGGAATATAGGACCCATTGATTTGTGGAATGATCACCAATTAAATGTGCAATTGAAGTAGAGCAATTGAAATGTGTTATTGTGTAATAACAATACAAAAATACAATCAGCCTCACTTAACCATAAATATTATCATAATCAAAGGCACAACCATGTAGATGTAGACCTATAATCACTATCATACGTATGAATCATACTACGCATCCAATTTTTTATTGTATTTTTTTATTTAACCTTTATTTAACCAGGTAAGCCAGTTGAGAACAAGTTCTCATTTACAACTGCGACCTGGCCAAGATAAAGCAAAGCAGTGCGATAAAAACAACAACAACACAGAGTTACATATGGAATAAACAAAATGTACAGTCAATAACACAATAGAAAATCTATATACAGTGTGTGCAAATATATATACAGTATGTGGAGGTAAGGCAATAAATAGGCCATAGTGGAAAATAATTACAATTTAGTATTAACACTGGATTGATAGATGTGCAGAAGATGATGTGCAAATAGAGATACTGGGGTGCAAATGAGCAAAATAAATAACAATGTAAATAACAATATGGGGATGAGGTAGTTGGGTGGGCTAATTACAGATGGGCTGTGTACAGGTGCAGTGATCGGTAAGCTGCTCTGACAACTGATGCTTAAAGTTAGTGAGGGAGATAAGTGTCTCCAGCTTCAGAGATTTTTGCAGTTCGTTCCAGTCATTTGCAGCAGAGAACTGGAAGGAATGGCGGCCAAATGAGGTGTTGGCTTTGGGGATGACCAGTGAGATATACCTGCTGGAACGCATACTACGGGTGGGTGTTGCTATGGTGACCAACGATCTAAGATAAGGCGGGGATTTGCCTAGAAGTGATTTATAGATGACCTGGAGCCAGTGGGTTTGGCGACGAATATGTAGTGAGGGCTAGCCAAAGAGAGCGTACAGGTCACAATGGTGGGTAGTATATGGGGCTTTGGTGACAAAACGGATGGCACTGTGATAGACTACATCCAATTTGCTGAGTAGAGTGTTGGAAGCTATTTTGTAAATGACATCGCCAAAGTCAAGGATCGGTAGGATAGTCAGTTTTACGAGGGCATGTTTAGCAGCATGAGTGAAGGAGGCTTTGTTGCGAAATAGGAAGCCGATTCTAGATTTAACTTTGGATTGGAGATGCTTAATGTATAATGTTATAGATGTGGTAATTATATTTGTATATTTTGTTTTATTTATTTGTTTAGGCCTATATATTATATGTATTTTATTATTTGTTTATTACCTTTAATGTTAGGGTATTGGGCCTAATATTGCAGGCTATGGTAGGCAGTAGGCTAACAAGCCAACTGAAAAAAAGGCAATTGATCCACTCCTTATTAACATGTTATGAGCTATTTATCTTAAAGTATATAGAACATATTCATGAAAACAATTATATAAAGCACACTGTATAAGGATGACAGTACTTTGGGGCTGATCCAAATATGTATTCTCAATGATCTATTGAACATCAACTCTTCAACAAGTAATTTAAAGACACAAACGTAATCACTATTTTCAAAAGTAAATTGACCATCAGTGTCTGATCTGTTTCCAGTGATATTCATTTTTATATATAATTATTAGCAAACATCAACATTTCCTCTTTAAATACTTTCCATTAATTAATTAACAGAATTGTTATGCATGCATTATTAAGTCATAGACCCTTTGGCAATCTTTCCTTTAGGCCTACTCGTTGCAACAGATTTCGATAGCGTGCAAAGGTGTAGCCTATCCCAGGCGGGATAACTTACAGCCCGAAGTACTTTTAATCAAGAGACATCTTTGACAGTTTGATAAATCTCACTCAACCTGTCAACAGTATAAACGGTGGAGTATATAAGGACAATGGGAAGACGTGTGCGTCTTGTTAACTTATAGGAAACAAATGTAGCCTACCTATCAAGTGTGTCATGGAGGATAAAACATTCGATTGTGATAAGAGACTATATTGTCTTGTCTGCTTGTGTAAGCTATCCAAAGGGTTTGACTTCGGATCACTGTTGTGTTAATCAATATCCCAATTGGGACTTACCCAAAGGTAAGTTATATGTATCAATACCTAGAATAGAGTCGTCTAGACCTCAACACCTACAACACACCATTCTGAGCGGAGTCTGTTTTGAAACAAGTCGTGATAAAAACGTTCAAATGCCATCGCGTGCGTGCACCTGTTAGCACTCGAGTTAAAGATTGGCCAAGTTGCGTGAGAGCGCTTTGGCCAAGCCCTCGCCTCCCCAGCCCTTGGTTGGGGGGGGGGGGGGGGGTATTCTATAAGCACTGCAGGGGTGAAAGGGTAAATGAGTTCATTACCCTTACAGTCTCTCTTCTTTTGGGAAATGTACATCCTATTCCAGATAGCCTACTGACAGTGAATATATATCGAGTCTGCACAGCAATACGAGGGATTTCCAACATAGTTGGAACATAGACTGAAACATTCTCAGCGGTAATGAGCCTATCGACTGAAAAGGACCTATTGACTATAAGCACCATTGATATAGAAAGCTTTATGGTTATGGACACCATGCACACAATCTGTTCCTCAGAATTAAATGTTCTTATTTCAACAACGTATTTTGGATGCATATAAGCTTTTCCTGTTAACCAGCATCATATTAGGCTGGCTGTTAGCCAATATGCTTTGATTGATAAACATAATTTGTTGCTGGGAAAATGTCATAGATTATGGGCTTTTCAATCTCACTCGGCTAAATCCTAACTTAATATCCATGTGCGTAATTAGACATTTAACCAAATCTCCTATCGATGCAGGATTTACGCGCAGACATGCGTTATTATATATCTCTATTATTCGGGCCACAATGGCCTGTCCATATACAAATAAACACGCTGAAATGGTTTACTATTGGCTTGTAGGCATAGGCCATAGAAAAGGCAAGGATGTTTTAATTAAGTTTTTAATGAAGACAATTATGGTTAATTAGGCTTTATTTTAAGCATTGATCTCTTTGTTGTTTTATTTTAGTTGTTCTCTATATCATAATTTCTAACATGTAAATGGCTTTATATTCATTGACTTTTGTCTACTTGACAATATGCCTCTATTTTTTGTCTTGGCAGTATGCCTGTATTTCAACTTCCATAAAAAAAAAACATTTTTTAGTCCTTTAGCAGACGCTCTTATCCAGAGCGATTTACAGGAGCAATTAGGGTTAAGTGCCTTGCTCAAGGGCACATCGACATATTTTTCACCTAGTCGGCTCGGGGATTAGAACCAGCGACCTTTCGGTTACTGGCACAACGCTCTTAACCACTGAGCTACCTGCCGCCTATGTGTTATACATGTGTTATACACTCTGTTTTGGGTTAACTGTACCATTCACAAAGGGTTAACTTTATTGTTCAATTTAAATAATTAGCATACTTCAACTTGAAGATGTCTCAAGACATTTCATTGCACATTTCAGTGTATGAATGTGTGGCTATTAGAGAGCATCACCCGACATTTACATTTACAACTGTGTAAAGAGGCATTAGTTTCCTAAATGTTTAAACATTTAGATGATCATTCCTGGAATCCTGGATTACAACTAGAAGGCAACCGAAAATGTGCAGGCTTTTGAGGAAAGTCAAGTATCACTCCAAAGCTAAGATAAAAGACGCCAACGTGTAATTGAAATTATGAAAAACAATACACTAATTTACCACTGTTTGAGGCGTATGAACACTATAATAATATTGAGAGACGATAGAGTAAAAAAAAAAGCGTAAAGTCTATTTCCAGCTCTAAATTGCTTCTTTTTTTCTCCTCCGAGATAGGCCTACACACCGTATTATTGCCATGCTCAATATGATGGATAATGCCAGTCGATGGGCTTTCGCCCACTCGCCGCCCGTGCCCCTCAGCGTTGAGTCCCTGGTCCTGCAGTTCGCGTGAGAAAGCTCCCGCACGGAGGGGTGGGCTTGGTCTTCGGGACAATCCTAAATCTGCTTGGTCAGTCACGCGAAGGCAGCAGCCCATGGAAAGACACAAGGGTCTTAAACACTGCAGAACAAAGAGCGCAGGACGTGATACTTTTTCTTGGTCACGGAGGTGCACATATTCGCGCGCTATAGCTTCTTTTAAATGCGAGGATCTTGGGCTTTGGAGTCATGCGATCTACCACTCAGGCTTCACGCAGGCATGCAACTGGCTGGCTGAAGTCAACTGCTTAAATCCACCAAATACCAATTGCCCTGGATAGTCACGGTAATGCCAACCATGGCAGGTACCTTCGCGTGTGAACTTGGAAAACATTTTATGACATTTCAAAGAGCTGCTTAAAACAATTGCTCCAAATGAGACTGTTCACTGGTACAGAAGGACACAGTCAAAGGCTGATTTATTAAGCATAAACATAAAGTATATAATCACACTAAGCATTACGCACAGCATTGTGAGAGGAGAGGGAGACGATAGCGTGAGAGGCCATGGGACGGACATTCCATACAGGTCCTGCATTCAACGTAAACATCATCAGGATCACACCCGTTTGA